ATGGAAAATAGAAACCTTAACTTATAAAAAAAAAAAAAACATCAGGGGAATATTATTAATAATTGAATGTTGATTACCTTGATTTTAAATTATTTTATATTTTACATAATAATAATATTTCTGGGAGAAGTCCCAGAAAAATATGTTCGAAATGTATTCAACCTACGATTTTTTCCTGTAATACATATTTTTAAGTCAAAAAAGTTCACTTACAGACTCCTTAATACTTAATTTGTTATTTAAGTATTTACAAAAGAAATAAATTCGTGTTATTAAAGAGTAAATAAGTCATTAAGTGTTAAGCATATTTGTAGAGAAAATTAAAAAAAAAAAAACTTAATTTTAGATCCATATTGTTCGCATCTACACGTATTCGCACAAAACACATTCAGCAAAAATGTATACATAGATAAAAAAAAAAATGAGGGTAAATAAACAAATAACTTATAAATTACGCAATCTTTTTTATCGTGACTTTTATATTTTTCAATAGCTTAAAGCTCCAAATACGAGGCGTTCTCAAATATTGAAATATTAAAATTTAAATAATATATAAAATGTGTGCAGTCCTTATTAAGTGTATTGAGTATGTAACATTTATCCTAAAAATAGATTTGTATTTACATAAGCAAATTATATCTGAATATAATATTCGGGTGGGAAAAATCTGAAATTTAAAAGCATTCTTGACGGGATATTATAATATTGTGTTCAGTGTTGGGCTTGGGATTATCCTGATAAAACCAATATATCTTATCTTTATCTTCTAAATTGTTTAAAATAGTTAAGAGTATATGTTATCGTTTTTTTAAGTTTTATTTCTAATCACTTGGTATAATATGTCGTAATGTTAGGTATGTTTTTTACTATACAAGTTCATTTTTTATATTAAAAAACAAAAAAGTATAAGAGAGACTGACTAGTTATATTATTGTGGTAACTACTAGTATCTATCTGTAGTAGCAGTTCCCAACTTGAGGTGAGCGTGAGATGATCTCAAAGTGTACGCGAACAAAATTGGGTAATGGCGGAATAAAGTTGAAAATGTTTAAAATAATATTCGTTTCGAAAATATGCAATATTATATGTTATTAAAAATGAAAACTTCTTATTTAGAAATGGAGGAGGTATAGAATGTAAATTATAGTATAATACTATCATAATAGGTATGTTTATAATAATATAATATGGTAGATTACCATTACCGCAATGGTATGTATTGAACTTTGTCCGGTTTATGCGTATATTTAGACTACTAGTAATAATATTATTACTATCCAACGTTCGTATACCCAGATTAAGTTCAATATTATATCAGCATCTATTCAGTTCGTCAGTTGCTTTCAAACTGTAAGATTATTGTGTGTGTGTGAACTATAACTTGTTACTTTCATTTTAAGAGTAGCTAAGTGAAAAAAGTTTTAAAGCTATAACGAGGGGTACAATGTAACAAAATATTAAGCTTAAGGGTACGAGAAAAAAAAAAGTTGGGAACCGCTGATCTATAGTATAGTACTTATAACCTATATCTAGTAGAATTGGAATACCGGACAATGAATTCGTGATAACAAATTACATTTTTTTTTTTCTGAAATATTGTGTCTAAATAATCGAAATGTTTATATCTAAATGGATAGAATAAAAAATAATAATGACCGAACCGCATTATGGTAAAAATATTGTACGATCGAAACATATACAATTTTGTATACCTAATGCGCCAGATATCAAAAACGACACGCCAAACCATATTTAACTACAATATTAAAATAATATATAGATAGAGTGGAAATTCTGAAGAACCGTTATTAAACAACTACTACTGAAACATTATGACAATGTAGAAACACAACCGGAAAATATTAAATTTAAGTGCAGCGAACTGGGCACGTGTTTTCCCGGTGGAATCACAATTTTATGATAATATTTTATTAATCGACCGTTATTCGGAACAATCGAAGTGGACGCACATTATCTAGAGAAAAGTGATTCGCTGTTTGTTCGGTTTGTTGTCTCAGCCTCTGTATGTATAATGTATGTATAATATAGTAGCGCATATCATTATTTTGAATTTGTACTACGCGACGAGTTTTGAATTTGATAAACCGTCCCGAGCGAATCTCGCGGTAGAAATTACTGTTTAAAATATTGCTTCGAGAAAAAAAAACAAATATTACACCCGTAAGCAGCAGACTTTCGTCACTATGTAGTCTAATATATCTCCACCCATATTGGGTATCAGAAATATTCTAAACAATACAATAAACCACCTAATACTAATATATAAACGTATACTAATTCTACTCTACAAAAACTATGCTATTATTTCCCTTATAGCCTTTTTTTTATTGATTTTTTGCTCTTGTTTGTACCTTAGAAAGGTTAATTTTGAAGTTCTCATAAATATTCGAGATAATAACGAAAAACTGGTTCTTTCGATTAACAAAAAATTAGGTTCATTGACAACCGTTTTCACTTAGTTTTTGTTATTATTAAGTTTTTATTATTTTATTTTTTTTTTTAAAGAACATTATTTTCGAGAAAACGTACATCGTTGAAAAGCCAACACTACTAACCGAGCTCCGCTCAGAGTCGTTTTTCGTTAGCAATAATTAATCGCTGCGAACACGTAGAAACTAAATCTCCCTCTTATATCCTACCTTCCTAACTTCCCGCCTACAACACTAGCAGCACCCGTCCCTTTTATCAGCTTTTTTTTTTGTTGTACATGTCAATATTACAGGAATGCCGAACATATTTTTGGATTTAAAGTAAAATTTACGGACCGTTTAATACGTGACACGTAATTCGAATAAGACAACCCCATTGGAATACAAATAAAAAAAATGTATGATAGAAAATAAAATTATTGAAAACGTTTACGGTCAAAATACTATTCCGAACAAGAAAAATATGCGATAATAATGTAGTTTAATACGAAGAATCGTTGGAACGGATGTTGCAATTTTATACAAAGACCGAAACAAAGAGTATTGCAGCGAACTAACCTAACCCATCACATTGTGACTGTAAGAAATTCCTTAAAAAACCCCTTTGGTTTTGAGGTTGTAAATATTTCGGATTGTAAGTGTAGCGAGGAATGCAAATTGGTTTTATTATGCCATATGTGATTTTTTATTCTGCCTGCAAAAAACTTTACTGTCAGAAACGTTGCTTCTATGATCAATTCCAGGAGGGTGGCGAATTTTGTCCAATTCGGGCGTCAGACAGGTAGTTTTTGATTTCCCTAGTTTTCCGAATAATGTTGAAAATCCAAGGGGAAAAAATGGCAAAATGAATACGAAATACCTAACGGTTTATAATACTTATAGGTAGGTACACTAATTGTAATACTTCAAAAATTTAAACCCTCAATAATTAGCTGAAAATCAAAACTCCGAGGTTAATAAACAATAAAATATTACCAAATGAAACTGAAATTCCCGGAACAAGTATACTCGTATCTCATTATAATAATATTATTATATTTATCCGTCGATTTAAACTATTCCAAGGCTCCTCCACGAGTAGGTACTTTTTAATTATGGATTAAATTACGGATATTTAATACCTGTACTAAAATGCATAGTAAAAAAAAAATAAAACATTAGAAGTTACAATATAATAAAATATAAAAATTAAATATCCCGATATTGTCCTTCGTTTCAATTACTTTACGTCACACTAACTACAAAATACGTTGCGGAAATAATTTAAATATAATAACTGCCAAGTTATTATATTCGCAATCGTATTTGATTTTGTTTTTTTATTTTTCATAATAATTTACCACAACGCAAAAGAAGAAAAGGAAAATTTCTCCTTATATTTTGTTATATTTTATTACCTCATGATTTCATTTGTATCATTCTTTCTATCCATGATGTCTCATAATTCCAGTATCGCCTTTAGTATTATTAAATTTGGATTTTAGATTCTGAGTGAAGCGAAGAAGCTTAAGATTTTACAAAGATGTTTATTTTTTTTTTTCTGTGGACAACATATCTACCAGAAGACTTGCTCCGATTTTTACGTGTAGCATGAGATTTTCTCAAAAGTTATCTCATCAAATGCGAAAAACCGAAAAAAAAACACGTGAAAATGTACGAAATATATCAGAATAATATTTCTATCAGTGATTTTGTTCCAATTTATAAGGATAAAAATGTTTTTTTAAAAAGAAAATCCGACTAAGGAAGTACTTTAAAGTGGTCATTTTTCAATTTTCTCGGGGGTTTTTTCATAAAATTTGAAAAACCGGGACTAAACATAGGAAAAACGGTAAAAACGTAGGAATATAGGGAAAATCGGTACTTCATTAAACAAATAATTTTAAAGAAAATCTATCAAGCCTATTTAATTATTTTACTATAAAATGACATACATATTGTAGACAATGCATTACTATCAACTGAACTCCGCTCAGAATCGTTTTTTCGTATACAATGGTTTATCGGTGCTTACAGGTATACATTAAATTATCTATAACGTGGCTAAACCCGTCCCCATTATCCTGGAACATCTTTTATAAACCCTGTTTTGATAAAGTAAATGCTATAATTTGTTTACACAGTACCTCACAAAATGCAATGTGTCTATCTGATGTTATTTTATTTGAAATATTTAGCGAGACTTTCATCAATTCACATCAATTTTTGAATTTATTTTTGTTAATTTCTAGATTGTCTTTTTTAACTATGGGACAAAACACGAATGCTATTACTCAGCTTAAAATCGCTTTATTTTCGTTTAAAAAAATTTAATTATTCAATTTAATTACTTTAAAAAATAAAACTAATTTACTATCAGTCCTATCTTTCAAACCAGCCACCTACAAAAGTGATCTATCCCAGTGAGCATGTATAAATTTGTTTTTTTTTTTTTTTGTTATTTATTTTAACACAACTATGGTTACGGCAATTTCTGAACATAATTTTGATAACTTTACTTTCTTATCTCCCGACAGTTAAAAATTGCAGGTTCCGATAATCGTGAACGAAATGGCATCAAAGAACGCAAAATCGAATACCGAGGAAACAAATAATCAGGCATCACCGCCACCACCGTTACACTCGAGTGACCAATGGGTATTGATCGGAACCGGAAACCATTATAAAGGAAACTGGAACCATAGAACGATGTCCGGATATGGCATTTACGTTATGCTTGACGGTAAACATCATCACTATGAAATTGTTTTTCAAAAAGTACAGGCCGTTACGGCAGCGTCTGTATCGTTTTGATTTATATAAAGTACTTAAGAATCTATGTAATAAAATGTACTCGATAGGAAATTAAAGTCCTTGAAAAAATACCGTTTTAAATTACGAGTATAACACTAGCCAAAATAAAAAATAAATGACGGTGCTCTGTAGTTTTCGATTGCAAAAAAAAAAAAAAAAGGGAATCCCCTTTTTTTATTCCTCATGCATATAAGTGAACTGATATAATATTAAGTATTTTATTTTTATCGTGAAAATCACGAATTTTTAAACGACCACTGTGTGCATTGTATAACTAACCATGACAATATGGGTTTCACAGATCTCACACTGCTGTCAATTTAACTTTGAAAAAAAAAAGCTGTATTTACATGGTTTCAATTTTACCTAACCTAACCTAACCTAGTAACCTAACTTAACCTTACTTAACCCGTATACACGTGAAACCAAAGCAAAAGTTTATAGGATATCATTTACAGACGAAAAATAGCCTTGTCAGATATTGTAACTACAAATCACAGTGATTTTTTCGGTCTTCAGGGACCGTCTACAAAGGCAATTTCGACGACGGATTATTCCACGGTATCGGCACCGCTTACCATCCGTCCGGGTCCCGAATCGAAGGTGTCTGGGGAAAAGGCAAATGCATAAAACGAAATTACATATTCAACGACGGTCTCAGGTTTCAACCAGAAAATTGGCACTATTGCGAGATGCCGGACAGAAGGTGTGTTTACGTTAACTTACTATTATATATATTATGATGTGTGATTTTTTTTTTTGTTCTGCCTTATATAAAATTGTCTACCAGAAATCTTACTCTAATCATCAACATTAGTGGTAGGTTTTGGCATCAAGTTTGTTCGGTATAGTTGGTGCACTACAGGTGATGTAATTTTATGATTTTCTCTAGTTGCTCTCTCAATAATGGCGATAAATAGAAATCATTTACGAAACAAATGTTTTTATTATTATTATTATTAAGCGGATAGACATGTTTTAATTTATTTGTATTAACTAAAATTTGATTAAAACACGAACAATTATTGTTATTTATCTTATGCAACACACTGCTATAGGTACTAGTAATACTGCTCCGCTCTGAATTTCTTTTTTTTTTTTTTCTGACATTTTTCCCAATAAAATAACCGAAACTCGTCCGAAATTATGATGGATGTACATACGATATACATATTCTATATTTATTTACACTATAAGACGATTAATCGTATCAAAACTATAAATTCGTCAAAAACGATATAGTAGGAATCTATTTATTATATAGTACACGAATACGATTGAAAAATTTCATTAATTTAACAAGAGCACGTCTGTTTAATAATATATAATATATGTTTTGTTTATACTGACAACGACGACGTGTCTGGGAGAATTATTCTGAAATATTATCCGACAATCTGATTAATAACAAGCTCTATAGAGGTATACACAGCAATTGCCTGCAAAGAGCGGCGTACCCGAGACGAAACGAAATCGTTTTAAAATATTTAAGTCGACTGTGAAATTAATTGGTTTTAATAAGACGATCCGTGCACATGCATAGGTATTTGTCTATATCTATTAATTTATTTACCGGCGGCAATTGAAAATTGTTTTTTATATGCACTTGATAGTGCATAAATGCTTAATAACCCCATGTGTTTATTCGATCGATCACGAATAGACAAATTATTCAAATTACATACTCGTTAATATTATTAAATTTCGTGTTATTCTATTGATGGCTACTGTATCCATAAAGCCCACTGTGCCCGAAGACGGATGGCAGGAGTCAATTTCCCACCTGCTTTTTTTAAGTTCAACTACTAGATATAATGGCAATATTTTAAACTGAAAATTCATATCATAAACAATTTAAAGAAAAATTAATTTGTCGTAATTGCATTTTTCCTGTATATTTTTTGATAATATTAAATTATATACTCGTATACTTATATCATAAATAATATAGTTTCGTTTTCTGAAAACCAAATTCAAAAATATACCTAAGGTACAGAGTTATATTGTTCCTTGTTTCCGTGGACATACATTAATATATTATCTATATAAACAACTGTAGTAAGTAAAAAGTATTTAAGTGAATAAGTATAACTATACAATGGAATAATGTCCTTAGGTATTACTGTGAAATGTCTTCTAACGGATATCTCCCAATAGCGGACGTTTTTTTGAGGACGGGAACATTTTCATTATTATTCAATTGGAAAACCTTCGAATAGCGAAATAATGTTTATTTCAAAATATAGCCGTTATTCAATAATATTATTAATCATAAATCATTAAAAATTAATCATAATTACAAATTAAAGTATTTTGTAATCGTAATCAATACTATGATTATTGATTACATTAGTGTATATTATGATAAACAACTACAAATTTTAATCGTAATCTTTAAATAAATAATCAGATTACGATTTGCCCAACACTGCCTTTACTACACATATTATATTATATTGTACTACATTTCACACAGAATAAAATAGTTTCTATACTTTGGCTATACTGTTTTGTTTAGCTTAATATCTATATGTATATGCAATAAATTGATCCAACGTTTTCTATAAATTATAATGTATATGGTTGATCTATATTTCCATTTTTGATCAAAACTTTGTTTCAATATACGGATTGGTGAATCGAATCCATGAATCCGGATTATAGATCGAATCCATCAATCCGTCAATCTGGATTAAATCGGATTAATCAGAATCATTGAAATACATTTTTCAATCCGAAATCCGAGTACGAATTTTATACTTCTGATCTTCATCTAGATAAATGTTATGAACTATATAACTATGTTATGAATTATCTTTTATCTATACATTATTTTCAATAATTTCAGTTAAGATGGTATGCATATTAATTTTTTTTTAAGAATATTTTGTCAATACATATATAAAGAGCACCAATGTAGTACTATTGATGTTTAAATTTAAATACTTTTGTACGCGTAAAGCAATAATTTCGGAATATAAAAATAAACAAATTATTAATAATATTATTATATAATCGAGTGCCTTTCGAGAAAAATATCAAAAGCGCGGTTTAAAAAATAATATTTAATGTATTGCCATCGACTGCGGATGAATAATGCTGCGAAAATATAAACGGTGAAATTATTATTATTAAGAGCCACTAATTATGATTAAAGACGAGGAAATCGTCGAGTTTTTTTTTTTTTTTTGAAATTGAATAAAAATTAACTTTTAGACGCGCATAAAAATCGTTTTTGTTTGACGAATGAAATACTTATAAATACATATATAAATTTATTATATTACGATTTTTTTTTCCATTCAAACGAATTATTAATCGATCCTGTGAAATTAAACTTACGTTTAATTAAAATAAAACAAAATGAAAATCGAGACTGACAATTTTTTATAGCCGAACTCGATTTAAGACACTTATAATCGAGTTTTCTATGTATACTGCAAAATAAATCATAAATCATTATCCTTAAAATTATTCATCAACGAAATTCGGTATTTCGTTGTATCTTCTTCGTTATAATAATGTTAAAACGGATCAAAAGCGAACGCGCGCTATTTATTAAGACGTTCGCGTATATATTTATTAACAAACATAATTAATTCAACACCGGAAATCGTATTAAAATATTTAAAAGAACAACTTTGAATTTTTATCAAGCAAAAACGATTTTGTTTTTTAATTAAAATATTTGTAGACATTTATGCATGTACAATATTATATATATATATATATATATATATGTGTGTGTGTGTGTGTGTGTGTGTGTGTGTGTGTATACAATTTATATGCGTATAGATGTACACGTTCAGGAGAAAAACTTACTGTTACTCACAAGACAGTTTTATTGATTTTTGACGACATATTATTTGGTGACGTTAAAATTAAATTATACGAGTATTTCGTATTTAATAAAATAATAATATTTTTTGACCCTAGCCGACAGTAAATTATAGACAAAAAATAAAAATATTTTATTGTTTTTAATTAAGAATATAATATACATAATATAGTAACATAAAGATGAAGTTAAAATGCAACGTCGAAATAAGACACAGATATAAGGGCATATCGGTTATAATCCATAACCAATATAAAATTTATTGATGAGATAAAATTTTAATCCGCTTTATGGTGGTGGGAGCTTAGAGATGGAACGTTGCTTGGATACAAGAATAATCATTGACAAACAGAAAGCTTGAAAATTAGGGCAATTTTTTTTTATAATTCAGTGATAAATAATCGTAATAACCTGAAATTTTCAGCTTATTATTTTCACCAGAAAATCGTGAAAACGCCGGAATTTTATGTAGTTATGTACTATTTTCCAATTTATTCGGATAAAAGTTTTATTAGATCAACAAGAATACTCTAAAATCTGGCTGAAAAAACGGACTGTTGTGTATAATTACTCTACAAATTAGTATAATTCTGAATTAAAGTTCAGCAAAACACGATTTATCAAACTTCGTTCGGAATCGTTTTTCGTTAGAAATAATTTATTGTTACATTTAATTATAAGGTAAACTACCCTATATATCGTACGTCCCTAACTTTTCACATTCCAACCTACAACTGTATGGCTTATTCATAAGCCTTATATTGTACGAACAGCGTAGCAGTAATGCACAAAAAACTGAATTTTTTGTTTTAGATTCGTCATCGAACACGTTAAGGGTTTACAACCAGCCGCTAAAAGTTGGATGACAAATTGGCAACCCACAATCAAAATCCCGGACGACCAGTACGATGCAGGTGACGGATTTTACAGACCGCTGACCAACACGGTCCATAATTATTGGACGAATGCTCTGATTAGGTATTAATTAATTCATTAAATATATATACAACTCTCTCAATTAAATATAGATACAACTATTTTGGTATATTTTTTTTTTTTTAGTAAGATAGCCATACCTAACTTTATCTTAACTAATCTAAACAAACGGGCAAGATTTAATTTAATTATGCGGGGAACTCGATATTATACAGAATTTTAGGGACTAATTACAACACACAAATATTGTATCACTACTGTTGTATATATATATATATATATATCTGTTAAACAATAATAATATGAAACTTATTTCGAACAGTTATTTTCATTATTGTTAATTTTTTTTAGAAAATAATAATTTTATAAAATATAACGAACGATTTTATAAGTAGACAAGTATAATTTTTCAATTATTTACTACTCGAATTAAAAATGCAAAGTCAAAAATATATTACTATACAGACTACGTATCATTATAAAACGATTATTTTGAAAAAACCTCTAAAAATCCTTAAGTATTAAATTTAAAAACGAACTACATCTGTTGATTCAACAGATATATATATATATATATATACGAAAATACATTATTTTCAATTTCTCAGTCTAGTTTTTGGGAATTAATATGACGTAAGTGTCGCCAACCTACCACCTCCATCCACTACTAATGAAATTTGAATTTTTTTTTTACCATTCTGTTAATTTTGTTTATATCGCATTAGGATTGACCAAACCTTGTCATAAAAAAAACATAATATGAATAAGTGCATAAAATAAAAAAAGTTAGATAGTGGTGAGAGAACTGGCGAAACACAAAAGTACTTTGACGGTATATCATGTGTACTACAAGCACACGTAACTACTTAAATACAAATAGGCATTACAACATAAGAAATTCTTGTTCTGTCTAAAAACCCCCACTCAACTAAAAAGTATCGAGAAAAGCATCTTCAGTAACTATATATATTATAATACAATTCTATCTTATATCTTATATCAGTTTTGGGAAGTTTTGAGCATCTTTAGTAGTATCGAGTAACTATTGACCCTCATTTTAATGTAAAATACATATCACACATTTAATGTAAAATAAAATATCATCTTGTTTTGGCCGAAAATTATTTACTGGATATAATATTTCCATACGAAATATTAGAATATAATTACGTACAGCGCTACAAGTTTCTTCTACACTTACCACTAAAGTAACAAAAATCAATTAACATTACCGTTTATTCTCCGTGGTACATAATATTATCCAATATTCTACTTCCTATATCTATGTATTATACTATTCAATATTATACATTCCACGACTATAGAATAAAAAAATCCAAACGTCTGCGTATGGTACCTATATACAACACAGAAGACGAGAGCAACCCGCAAACTCTTAAAGAAATACTCAACAATAGAGATAAAAAATGATTCGTATACAAAAAAAAAATATATATATATATATATATAATATTATATAGGTCACCCCTGTCGTTACACAAAACGAATAAGGAAATATTATATATATATATATATATATATATATAGTTAAAATTTCGGTATATAGGTACAAAATGAACTTCCAAATGCAGGTACCTTTGTAGGTGCATATGCGAGTTGCGACTGCTCGAGAGAGAAAAAATAATGGCGTTAAACGTCACGTTCTATGAATGGAGAACTATTTTACTCCATGCGAAGGAATATTACCTACAACATATTACTACAATAACTGTAAAGATTTACATAATATTATATTATTGCGATTCTCGTTTTAGCCGCTTGATTCGTATCGCGAAATGGTTCCATGAAAATCATTAAAAACCATTATTTGATAGAAAAAAAACCGATTTCGGGTGAAGTTTGATCGTTAGTCATATTTTTAAAAACATAAATAGAACATTGTTACTGCGAATTGAATTAAAATTACCCTTGTATTTTTGTATCAAATTTTTTGAACAGGTATTTTTATGTAGATACGTAGTTACAAAATTTTTATCTGCGCAAATCGAAAAAAAATAGCAAGGATAATATAGTGATTCAAACTGAATAAGGTTGTACAGATAAATTATAAAACTACGCTCAACTATTTTAGATTCTATGTGGAGCAAAGAATGTATTAGTTTTACAAATATGTTGAATTTTTTTAAATGTTTAACTTTTATATACTGTGAATAAAAATTCTACCCGAAATCTTCCTCCAAAGTATCAATTATAGCAACTTTTTTGAAAGGGAATTTTCCTGGAGTTGTAATTTAATATTACTTAGATTTCCCAACAAATGGGAAAAAAACGGGAAAATATCAAAAATGTAGGTATAAGTAAAAAAATATTACGCCTTTTTTTTTTCCTTTGAATAACTTTTACCGACAAAGGAGATAAATTTTTGATTTTTTTGCTGTTTTCATAATAAATGGGAAAACCCAAGAAAAAAATGGGCAAGACGGGAAATGAATAGGTATAACTGCTATTTCGTTTTCATAATAGCACCACATCATTTCAATTCTTATATTTTTTTTTACTATAACAACAAAACAAAATCGAGTAACTATAAAAAAATAAATAATTTTCACGGAAATATTCTCATTTTTTAAACGTATTTCCGGGTTCACCTTTAACAAAGAACATCAAAAAATGATCTTCTTAATACACTAACTACATCAAATTTTCTACCAAAAACCACTCCTGAAGTAAATGATTGGAGCAAGAGTTCTGGTAGAAACAATTTAAACACCTAGCGTTCCAGACACACATAAAACTAAATGTCAAAATACAAAATCATACGAGTACATTTTCACCTACTCCTACCTTTCAATCCAAACATTAACATTCATGAACAACAGAGTTCCCTCACTAGAGTTGAATCCCTCTCTACTAATTATGTATAATATAATTATTCTTTATAAAATGGGTACTAAATAACCGACTGCAATAATAACATACTATTATACTTATTATACAACAATCATACTACTCCAAAATATAAAAATATAAAAATAATAGAGATTGGGGTTAAAAATAGAACTCCAAGAGGCATTATTGACACTAACGTCCTTTATTCCCATTATTTGGGGAGTGTTTAGAGATGTTCAAAGCTAAAAAAATTACTTCCACCCAGAATAACAATCATGGATAAATTCATATTGAAATTCAACTCAACTTTTATTATTTTAATTGGCCTACAAAAAAAAAACGTATTTTCAAAGGAGGCTAAAAATTTTCGAAAAAGTTTCGGAAAATATGTACATATATTATATATATGCAGGGTGTCCCTCGATGATCTGACACTTGAAATAACTTTTTTCTATTTAATATTTTTAATATATTTTTTGTTTCCCTAGTTAGTATATCTCTGTGCTACAGTTATTTTTATATGTTTACTATAGCGCAGAGACATACTAATTAGTTAAAAAAAATATACATTACAAATACTGAATAGAATAAAAGGTATTTCAAGTGTCACATCAACATGATACACCCTATATAACAAAAATAATACAAAGTAATAGTATCTCTTTTGGTGTAAATTTGACCAAATTGCAAAAAAAAAAAAATAAATAATCAATTCATCCGGGAATTGTAACGCTATACATAGGTACCTCTCATAACTAGTCTCATCGTCGTTAGGATTTTAGAAATGTAAATTTTTTTTAAATCTTCTTACCGGTGGCCACTCAAAACCCCACTCCTCCAAGAGTTACACGAACAGTAATCTAACGACCTTTTCAATATAGTATTAGGTATATACATAATTTTACAACCGCGTTGGTTTGTTAAAATAAAACATTTTCACAAATATTGTAATAATATTCTAACTGCAGTGGTCCCTAAGGGTCTATGTTTAAATTCCAGCCTACTACCACCACCGCAAATGCATTTTGAAAGTTGTTAAACAATGCTGTCCAACAATATTATATAGAAGTTAGGTAAATAGGTAAGTACCGGCCAAATATTCCGGACGGGTTAGATTTTTGTCCCAGTAAAGTTGTTATAATTATTATATAGAAGTTCACGGAGGTGAGCGGATTATAATAATTTGTGCTTCTAAATCGAGAGTCGTAAAACCTGCTGCAAGACACGTGTGGCTGAGGCCAAAACATTTCTATACCTGTAGCCTACAAACAGTTTTATACAAAACAATACCTATAATACGCCACGGTAATTTTCAGAATTAAATTAGTACATCACTCTGTGCTAACTAATACAATATAGTGTTATGTCATAAAAAGGTAAAATAAGTAAATAATGGTTTTGTATTGAATATTCTCTTCAAATATAAGTAAAATAAAGACAATTATTACAGAAAATTCATAAAATGTAATGAGTTGTTGAAAAAAAAAAAATCAAGGTGGGATATGATACTCTCAATCGAGGAATATGAGAGGGGGGGGGTTAAGAGCAAGTTCCAACGAAACTCTGCTGTTCACGAATGTTTTATTTACACATATAATATATTTTATGTATATTATATTACGGGAAAGCACGATTACTAGGTAAAGCTAGATTTTACTAGTTAATGGTAGGATTTACAAATTGTGCACACGTAATTTATTCGGGCTTTTATTAAACATTTTGTGTAGATCCTAGAATGTACATATTGCGTTATTATTAAAAACTGACAATATGACAAGTAAAAATTATAAACATATACTACTAAAACAAATTACTGATAGTTATTTACATTTTTTTTATACAAAACAATTATTATCTATTCACACATAATATACTATAAAAGCTAAAGAAAAATTATAATGTAAACAAAATTGTAATTATACATTATTAAACAATTTAAAGGCGGTTATTTAAAACTATAAAACTAATGAAACGCCGCGCACCGTGCCGCTAGACAAATAATACTCCACTACTCTCTCCCTACCTAAATTTAAAAATGATATTTCGTTAACACGTTGATGAAAATCAAAAATGTGGACACCTAAATTTATTCAAAGTAATGCTCCATCTATGTATGGAATTTGTTTAGTATAAGTTCTCAATTGAAAAACCAAAGATGGTTACTCTTAAAAATTCCAAAAATCAGAATTTTAATTTATGCAAAATTTAACCAATAAAACGGGGAATGAGAATCACCCTTAGTGAATCATCTTGTGTATATATTCTAGATATGTAAAACAAATGTTTTCTTTTCAATCTAATAATCAATGAGTCAGGAATAAATAAATTTAATTTCATTTATTTACGAATTGTTGGATCAAAATTTACGTATCAACCACCCCTTAAGCCATAAGAGATTAAGTTGATAAAAGTAACCTGTGTCCATATTCGGGATCCAAACTATTTCCCAGTTAAATTTTATTAAGATCAGCTTAGCAATATATCCGTGAAAAGGTTACAAACAGACAAACACACTTTCGCATTTATAATAATATACCGAATAAATAATTTAAAATAAAACATTTACATACTCGTATTTTTATTGCGTACCATGATAACGTATTATGTAATTGTGTTTGTTATGTTAGGACAGTTACGGGGGGTGAAAAAAATCGACAACATCTGATAAGTCTAATAATGCTTTCAATATACGTAAAGAACATATCTAAAACTCCCAACGGCTCTTGGAACGGTCCCATTTTTACAGACAAAATGTATTACTATTTAAATTCGAATTGTGTAATTTGTCTAACTCAGTCGGAGAAATTAAAAAAAAACACACGTACCAATAGTCATCCGAATGTTGCCAACGTCGTTATACCGTAATATTTATGGCTGCCACCATGTGCCAGACGCGTCATCCCTAAGGGAGAGTTCCATATTTATAACACAAAGTCACAAAATATCTTTTTTACAATTTACAATACAAATTATCATTAATTAGATCCTAATTACGAGAAAAAAAAATCGTCCTATCAAATATTTTATAAATTATTATTATTATTTTAAATCATTTAATGTGTACAGAACTGTTTTAACTTCTTATAAATGCACTGAATTTTGATACAAGATTCGTTATAAGATATACCTAGTTGCAAAAAAAAAAATTAGAGCAATGTATTATGTTTTAAGATCGTTTGAAATTAAAAATTACCATAAAATGTTTTGTAGTTACAAATTATTAATAACGTTTTTTCAACGCAATACATGTTTATCACTGTTTACACTGTACAGTAGTATAAACTATTACGTAAACTACCAACTAAACAAATTTCGATTACAGTGCACTAACTCAGAACATTGGCAGTAACATTTGCTTTGTTTTTTGTTTATTTAAATATGGTTTATACTTTTTGAGTTTTCGTCAATCGTAAAGTCTCGTACAAAATTATTATCTTTAAAGACTACATGAGGCACTTTTAGAGGATATCCAACTATCTACTACATCTCCCTTATATAAAAAAAAATACGAGTAGATATACCAAACATTCACCCTTAATTGTTGGACTACTTTCCCTAATCATCCTCCCCTACCGGGGAAAGTATTTCCAGCATACGATATAATTCATTTTTTTACAGAATCTACTAACCAGTCATTAACCATTTATTTTCTAGTTGATAGTACTATAATTGGCAAAATCGTATTCTACCGGGCGATGTCCAATGGAATTTTACCATGTTTCCGTTTGATCAGAGAAAACCTTGAAAAAAAAAATGCCTTGGAATATAGGTATAACGAATGTAGGGCGATACATTTGACTAGTATTGTTATATTATAATTATTATGGACCGTAAAAGTGAAAAACGCCGATCGGGCTCGAAATTAACATTTTAATGGAGAACAATATAAAGACGTACACTGTGCCGGTACTATGACTTCGTATAATATGACGCGTGGAATACTGAATAAACGCGCGTGTTTAATATGCGAAAAAGAGAGGCTACATGACGCTGCACAAGGACGTTAGATGAGAATATAACCGACAATTTTATATATAAAATTTAACGATCGTAGAGTTTCAGCGGAAATCCAATTAGCTATACATATATATATTAAATAGATGAGAGAGAAAGAGAGAAATTTCTCGAGTAAAACACTGTCGAATCTTGCGGCTTCAGTGAGTTTTAAGGCTTTTCAACACGGTCTCCGTGTCGCCGTTATATTATAGGCATTCACATACATTAAAATTATTAAATCGAATTATTACTAAATTACAATATATTTTCCTAAAATGTATAGTCATCATTTTATAATTAACAATTTTAACGTATAGGGTGGAAGGAGGAAAGGGAAATTATACTTAATAAAAAAAAACGTATAATTAAATAGGTAAAAAAATGGTCAATGTATGGACAAATTATTATTACACATTGATTTCTAGTTTGAAACACGATACAAAACGGATATATTTTATTATTATTATTTTGTAATTCATATTATTATGCGGTATAGAAACATATTATTTAAACATGTTGCATATTTATAACCATAAAGATTGAAAGGATAAAACATTGACTATAGTTTCAAATAGAGTAATATGCATGTTTATTATACAATATTCTTTTAGGGTAGAATATTTATATTTTTTTTATTTTAAGTTTGCAGTATGAAAAAATTACTCGAAAAATAGATATACAAAAATCCCCATATGATTTAATTTTATTAAATCCTGAGTACCTACTATTGAAATTACGACAGCACATTTTTGCTTTATTACCTATTCGAAAATTAGAAATGACAATTAACATTACTGTGAAGCCCTCTTAAGAAAACAGTACACTGTGTCGGTCGGACAACTGACGGGCAACATTGCAATGTTGCGTTACTTAGACGAACATAAATTGAGACGTTTAGGATGAAATTAGAGCCTGAACACAAATCTGAAATATTCTAAGGGCTATGGTAGTTTTTCTAAATAATTTGCGATTTAAAAGTTATAGTATTGTTAGTTTTTATCGATTTTTTTTCTTAATAGTTGTAATTTTTTGTATGGCATTTTTCAAAAAAAAAAACCGTACAACCCTCGGAAATATTTTCCTTTTCTTTAAATTTGATTTTTTTTTTGTTTAAATTTTAATTTCAGCCTAAACACCTTATTCTATGTACTCAAAAACTTAATTTTCAGAGTATAACGCTCTTTTGACATAAAGTCAAATACGACAATAACTTGCTGACATTTTTTTAAATTAACTAAACCTAACCTAACCTATATTACCTACTTTGATTTCAGAGTGCCGACGGTAGAAGGTGGTAAGTGGATTATGGAAAACTGTCGACGGGGCGGCCATCGAATCGTGGGTTTCCGACCAGAATTACATGAAAATTGGTACGAAACAAATAAAAACGTTTCATCCGTCGTTGACATCAAACCGATACCTACCGATGATGGCGAGTCAATGATCACCGATATTAAAACCGTTCCGTCACCCGTGTTCGATTTATCATTACATAACATAAAGTACGTCGTACATCAGGACAGTAAAAGAGATTGTTTAAAAATAGGATAGAAAAATGATTCACGTTGATTCGGAGTGTAACGTGGGATCCATTGGTTTTAGAACGATGTTTTTTTTTTTTTTTTGTCTGTGACCAACTTTTCGTCCAGAAATATTAATCTGATATAGCACCTACTATGTGTGGTGTAGCATCTTTTCTGAATGGAAATTGTACCTGGTGGATGAATAAGAAAGGTCATATTTTAATTTCTCAAGACGTTTTCATTATAATTAGGAAAAGACCGGAAACAAAATTGTAGGTACAATAGCGAATATTTACAGCGCACTAAGGCATTATAGTTTCATTATTTGAAAGTTTTGCGCTTTATGTTTTCTACCAGGAATATTATTCCAATAGGAAAATAACAAGAGACCATTTTTATTGAATTTTTAATTTAGTTATAGTAAATAAGGAAGTCGATTTTCTCAGTAATTCAATTAATAATTTGAGAAAACTGGAAAAAAACATAAAATGAAAACTGACAAATTTATGGCGTTACAATTTCATTATTTTAAATTTGTACGCATTCCGTTTCCTATCAGAAATATTGCTCTAATATGAAAACAACAGAAATCTTTTTTTTTTTTATAATTTTTAATCTAGTTGGTAACTCAAGTCGGTCTCGCACGACTGATGTACTTGGCCAATATTTGTCACTGGTGACAAATATTATGACCAACACTGGTCTTTACTCCCACACAACTATTGTATATTTACAAGTATTTATAGCCAGCATCATTGCCTAGCACTGGTATAAACTTATCATGGCAATTGTATATTTTAATTTTTTAATTTTCAGTAAAATATTTAACTTTTTTAACTCGTACGGTTGTAATTAGGTGTTATTCCACACTCTCTTATATCAAAATAACATGTCCTAAACCACGATTATATTGTAACTTGTTTACAGATTACTCACACAGCCAGTCAAACGGCAGTAACTATACAATGTAGGAGCAAACGCCAAGTTTAGTGTAAAAATTGGTGGTCTTTGACTTCTTGATCAGGTTTACTAACAATCCACGGGTACGAGCCAGTGACTAAAATTTCCATAAAACTGGCGAATTATCACCAGTGACAAATATTGGCCAAGTACATCAATTGTGTGAGACCAAATTAATAAAGTTGATTTTCTTTGTAGTTTTATTAATAATATGGAAAAACCGAAAAATATGTTGAAAGAAAGGAAATAATTCTTTTATTAAGTATTTTAAATTTTATTTTTGAAATTTAATTCAGTTAAAATTATTCGTAGAGATTTGAAATTTTAACAGAAAATCGTATTCATTTTTTCTAGACGTGTCTCGTGGAAAAATTTTCAAAACATTTAATCTATTTTTGAACTATTCATAGACATTTAAATTTGACAAGTTTTTTTCGTAATTTTTTTTTTTTTAGGTACTCTGTAAATAAAATTGTTAGACTTAACAGAAATACTTGAAAATTTGACAGGAGGTTCATTAAAGCTGTACTTATTGGTCAAAAAAAAAAAATTGAGTGTACCTAATTTAGTACATTTTTTTTTTTATATTATAAGTGTTATAATATCAAATTTTGACAAAAACCGAAAATAAAACGGTCTTTCAAAACATGTATAACCCGAATTATTTTTCGTTAGCAATAGTTTATTATTGGTGACAGGTATAATAAATAACTCTATGTATCCTACTTTTCCAACTGCCCACCCATTTTTCTATTATTATTATTATTAATGTGAAAACCATGTTATGAGATTAATTTAAGAGTTATTGGTCAAATTCAATAATTGTTTGTTAACTAAATGGAATTACTTACAATAGTCTATTCCACTATGCTATTCCATAAACAATATAAATCGAAAAATAGTATGTAATATGAGGCATAAAAATGATAATAAGATAAGATATGAGTGTACATCTTTTATATCACTTAATAGCTACATGTTGCTAAAATATGTTCCGAAGAACAAAAACTGTAAAATATGCAAACAATATTTGCACGTCTTGTTATGTGCAAAATAAAATTTAGGATTTAGATTCCTTACATGATGAACAGTATTGATGTATTGTTCTCCTATTTTTTTAATCTTTCGAAAATAATATGCAAATGCTAAAAATTATACTAGCTATCATACTTTCCCGAACAACGTCGTATACTCCTCTGTTTATCAACCTTGTTTTCTCGCCCAACACAAGTCTAAAAATCATTGTTTATATATTTTTTTTAAATCGTTTTACCATTGATCGTGTACATGTTCTTGTAACATTGGACTCCGGCCTGTTATAATGAAATAAAACTATATAATATAGGAACATTAGAATTACAATTATTTGATCAATTAACTATTTTCGATAATTTGGCCAGTAAATTTTACGAATTGTGCCACGTTTTTCTGAAATCACTGTTATAATATCCATTCTATAAAATGCAATTAAAAATAAACTGCACAAAACCACGGACGATATTTCGGAAATAAATCGAAAGGCAAAATAGAGGAAATTCCATAAACGTCAGGATTTTCGTTTTATTATATCGTGCGCCGATTCCGCAGACACCGATTAGATTTAAAGGAATTATTTTTCGGTATCTACCTTATATTTTATAGTGGTACCTAATGTATGAAAAATTACCAAAAGGAAATAGTATAAAACTATAAAAATATTTCATACCTACCTACTACCACCCCCAGTAGTCGTATTTTTTGTTCTTACGGAGTAATTTCGTTTATTTTGATCCGCGAGTAAACCGTTTATATTCGTAAAAGTCCGAGAAACGAAAAAAAAAAGAAATATTATGTACCGTAATAAATGTTAGTGATATGATAAAATAAAAACTCATATTCTCTTATATACACATTACACATGTGTATATATTTTAATTTCATAGATATATTATATTATAAGAATATATACCGTGAGCGATTATAGTGATAACATTGTAGAAGCTGTGAACAAAATAACAATAATAATATTCAACAAGTAGGTCAGTGCCTAACAAAATCATGACAGACGAAGATTACCGAGATCACGAGATCAGTATTTTCGTGTTTGATTGTTTGTTTTTAAGGTGTAAATAATATTTTCGGTTGTGGTTTAATACAAGTACCGTTTCATTAGACGACGGTAGGTACTAGGTAGGTAATCTACATTTTTAATTTACAACTCTGGTGTTTAATATTATAATATTACACTATTTACCATCTACCTACTTAAAAAAATGTCTAATAACTTTAGCAAATAAATGTCAAATTCAACACACGATTTATTTAGCGAAAAATATATTTTTATTGAAACACGAGAAGTGAAAAGAGGTAAGCGGGGAAATAATTGTATATCTAACTGTTCATAATCCACTATATTATAACATCGGTTAATCTGAGCTTCAAATGTGCATGTGTAACTCACAAATATCATTATGAGAATTTACTCTCTCTTAAATGAACTAACAAAAGATCCGGACATAATATTCTTAATATTAATTTAATATACTTTTAATATACTTAATACCTAACTTCGAATTGTTTTTCATTAGCAATGGTTTATCGTAGGTATAAATTAAATAACTTTATGTATCCTATCTTCTCAACTTCCCACCTACAAAAGTCTACACCCGTCTTCATTATCAGCATTTTTTTTTTAACTTTATTCTTCACACACACATACATTATCTGTATAGGTAATCTGTATTTTGTTCTACTTATTAATAATTTTGAAATACATAGATGAATTATTAATATTTAGCCGATACTATAAATGAGCTTATTGAGTATTCTTAGGAGAGCTAATTTTAAACTTGGGTACAATAAAAACCCGCCTAGTTGTGCCTTTGCCAGTGATTCATTTTTCGCTCCACCCGAAATAAACTAAAATGAAATTGCAAAGTGCAAAAATTAACACAAATGTAATATTATGAACTGTTATCACTTGATTTTACACATCTATATGAAGAATAGAATTATTTAATACTAGTCACATTACTCTATATTATTGTCATAGGTTGCAACAAAATATGTCATCGTTTTCTGGTTGTCAGCCGAACCATTGTCAAAAAACCGTGTTGACGGCCCACGACGAACGACCTCGGTCATCTTCCAACGATGAAGAAAATCATCAATAGATACAGATTATAATCATACAAATGATTATAATAAATAATAAAACATTACTAAATATTATTATAACCGAATTGTTCAACTACCTAAATTATATCCAAAAATCTCCCCCTCCCCTTTGTTTATCAGTACTATAGATAAGTACACTAAAATATGTTTTACTGCTGACTGTGTTAATTCTTAAAATAAATAAATAATTAATTATAATAAATCTTGGCTAAAAAAAAAAAAATGTGTTTTTTATAAAATTTACTTTTTTTGTTATTATTACACCATAATCAACGGGATTACTGAACGAGATATTAACATATTAAAAAGATTGAAAGCAAAAAAATCAATTTCGATTCTATATTATGTAGTAATATCCGGACAAAAAAATAATAATAATATCATCGTGGATGATCACTGAGTCATGATAAAATAATTTTTAGTTTATTTAAACAATTTTACGAAATGTGAAATACTCTTTCCAAAAAATAACTTTACGTTTTAGATTCAGAGTAAAGAGAAAGATGAATTGGTTTCATTATGATGTGTGTTCTATTTTTTCTGTCTGTAGACAATTTTTCGAACAGATAACTTGCTCCAATATAACAAGTGTAGTACAAAATTATAGGGAAAACGCGACGTTATACCGACTTTATTGTTTTTAATTTATGCTCACAGTGTTTTCTACTAGAAATATTGCTGCAATAGAAAAACGACAAGATACCTTTTTTGTCGCATTTAATTATTTCAACAACATTTGAACGACTTATGAGCTAGATATATTAAGGTAAGTTTTTTAGGTATTTTAAATACAGACATTTTAGTTTTGCGAGTTTTTTACATAGTTTTTATTGATATGTACTATATAGATATAATTGTTCGACTAAACAAAAACGCTTAAAAATTTAACAGGAAGTTCATAGTAAATTATACTTAGTAGTCCAAAAAAGAAGTAAAATGTAATTGTTATGATTGTTTTAAGATTCAATTTTGATGAAAATTGTAAATATTACGATCTCTCAAATCGTGTATAAACGTATTTCACTCAGAATCGTTGTTCGTTAGCAATAGTTTATCGTTGCTTTCAGATTTAAATTAAATAACATTAAGTATCTGACCTTCCTAGTTAACTAACCACCTACAACAGTATCTATTAGCTGTTTTTTTTGGGGGAGTGGATTATTTTGGTTTTTCATTTTTTTGTTATGCAAGATACAAAATTTCTGCTCACTAGTACTTTTTTCAAACATTTAACGAAATTTTCAACGATGAGTTCCCTATTATATTATGTCCTTTATATATTATATCTAATTTTTCGTTGATTTCCGGGTTACCTTGTCATCACGAGAAAAATATTACCCCAGCTATAATATTTTAAAAAGACAGATACCAGAAATAAAATATTATCCGAAGTCACATTAAAATTAACGCAGTATGTGATTGATATACGTTAAAAGTTTAATGCATCAGTGGTCACGTTCAAGAAGCCACGACCGCGCGAAAGATTACATTGTTTTGACAGCGACGCGATATGACAATATGTACATTTTAATTAAATTAATTGAACAACGTTATAAGTTCCCGACAAACGGGAGATTTGAACTATAATCGAGACATCTTGGGATGCGAAAATACAACGCATAATAATTAATATAATAATATAATATTATTCAATCCGTTAAAGGCGTCGAGTACATCGAGAATATTTGACGAAATACATATATAGCACGTGAGTACGTACGTACGTATCTGTCAATTTCTTAGCTGTCCTACATCAAAATCGATAATCGTAAAACTATTCCGAACATAAGTTGTATCTGCACGTCATACTATAGTATATTGTGATAAGTACATTTGTTCACAAACCGAAAAAAAAACAAAGAATACATCATATGGAATAAACTTAATACATACAGAAATGGGAATAAGGTTTTAAAAGTAAGATACTATAATACATAAATCCGTGTTTTAAATCAGTATATTAGGTACAATATGAAATTTTGAATATCACAAACAAGTGAAAAAACATTCTGTATGCAAACCTCAAAATATTATTCGCATAACATATTATTATATTACACGATATTAAACGATATGGAATTACCATATATACTCACAACGTAATCCTATAAATATTAACACTTCGGAGGTTTACCATGACGACGACAATATAAAAATATGAAGTTCACAGCTATAATATTCACCTTTATAATAGAAAACTCCAGTGTATATTATTATTCTATAATTTCGCGATTCTTTCTTCTTTTTGTCCTCGCCACTCGTCCTCCAATCTATTTGGGGTCGCGGTAACGTATTCGTTCTAAACTCGTACCACTCGACTAACACACACACACGTTTACAGTAGTAGTCCTTGTAAATACTGTATAATAGAATACATTTCAAACAGATTTTTAATATTATTCGCAAATATATTGGCCGGGCAAAGGAATGTTTGTTCTTAAATTTACATCAAATGCGTCGCGCGTCGTTGAATCCAACTGGCTCAAAATTGTATATATTTATAAAATATAGTATTTCAATAGTATATTATATCATACAAATACACAGTAAAACTAAAAATTCTATTTAAATAAATACAACTTTTCTTTTATATTTATAATAAAGAAAAGCGCATGTTTTAAGACTTATAAAAACAACCCACACATAAATTATCTTTTCCACTTTATTATGGAAATGTGACTTTCATTATTATTATTATTATTTTTTATTTTTTTTGAAAATTCTACACTTAAAACTATTGGTTTTTGAATTCGTTAAGTATTACATTCAAATTGAAGTTCAGACAAATTTTGAATTATAAATAATCATTGCAATAATCACAACAATTAGTATTAGGTACTTGAGTATAAATCTGTGAACACCATTTTTTCCAGTAATTTCGCTTCGATTTTCAAGTGTAGCATTCTTCTGAAAGGAAAAATGACTGGGTGGTACTTTAAGAATGTCACTTTAAGATTTTCCCAATAAATGGGAATAATCGGGAAACAACATGGAAAAACCGAGACAAAGGTAGAAAGACGGAAAACAGATATAATATTAAACAAATATTATTTAAAAAAATATATAATACCTATTTAGTTATTTTCCCGTAATATGACATAGATATTGTTGACAAAGCAACACTATTTACCAAACTCTGCTCAGAATTGTTTTTTATTAGCAATGGTTAATCGTTACAATACAGGATATACATTAAATTTCCTTTCAGCTTCCCAACTTTTCACCTACAATGCAGTAGCCCACCCATCGTACGAAGTATATCCGTCTTTTCAAAATTAAAAATCATATAAAATCTTCAATCTTCTTACATCTTCAATGTAATATAGTCATAATACAGAGTGTCTTACAGTGTCATCCTTATGCTATAATAATTCTGTCAATATTCATTTTTTAACATTTTTTTTTATTTTTCAATCGGGTTTTGTGCGAGCACACAAATTTGGAAAAAAATTTAATTTATATTTTCACCCCTTAATTGTTTTCAATAGAATAACAAAATACACGATAAGGAATCACAATCCAAACGGCAATTCTTTATGTATGTTATTGAATAATAATATTTGATTTCATATCAATTCTTTAGAAATTAAAACTGCTATTACTAAGAAACTATTAATTGATATGAATGTATGATACATTAATATTTGTAGAATATACTTTACAAAATGGCTATTTTGAAAATTTTAAAAAGTGGAAAAATAAAAAGTTATTTTTTTCAGTGATTAAGGGATGAAAATAACAATTTTATTTTTCTCTATATATGTTTATCACTTTCGCATAAAACCCGATTGAAAAAAAATGTAAAAGAAAATTAATATTGACAGAATTATTAGCATAATGAGAACACTATAATATAGACAAAATATTCTTCTAAGATTACCAAAAATAACCGTCATACCTATAGTAGTTATATAGACGTCAAAATAACCGATAAAAACAGTGCATACAATATAGGAGTTTTGTCAGGATCTTCAATTTAAGCTCATTAAAGCCGATTTGTCACTATAAACTGGTATTATTATAAACAATTTCCACTGTATGCATATATATATATATATATAACGGAATGTTTCTTTGTACTTCCATGAAAATATTTATAAAAAAACACGACTGTATAAAATATTATGTAATTTGGAAACAAAGAAACATTACCTATGCACAATGCCGGACGAGTTAATTCCATATCACAACAGGGTACGGGGAATGACATAAAAATAAAAAACAATGCTACCTAAATTTTACTGTCAACTTTTTATCTCCCTCTCTCTCAATGCAGGTACCTAACAAACAAATGTAAACACAAATGACCTATGTAAATGTTAAAATAATAATTTATTATGTTAAGCAATAAAATACTAAAAAATAAATGTGTACAAAACAAAATAAAATAAATGATTTTAAAAACGTGCATTCATATTATAATATATGATACATTCATTTGAGTGGATATCTGTTATCATCTGCAAAAATTAGTAAAAAAAATACTGCGGTTTAGTTGGGCGTGAGAATAAACGCAAACAATGTAAGCGTATAAACTCTAATGGTTCACTTTGTGGTATTGAGCTTAATACAAGATAGTGCTTAGGATACTAAAGATTAGAGACTTATTGGTTGTTAGGTCAAATTAAAAACCTATATACTATATGGATTTGTTCAACTTAGTTTATCACTATTAAACGGACATTATTATTATTTTATTATGCATTGTATTATCCGAGCAATAATTATCCTATAAAAAAAATAGACGATTGAAGAAAAATGTATTATTATCATGAAAAATGAAATTATATTGTTGTGGAAAACTTTAAAACGTTAAAGATGATACATATTAGTATCAAGTATAACTGTAACATGGATCCATAAGACTATATGAGAGTTCAATTTAGGATACAATATGATCATATAGGTCCATAGGTGCAGATAGCACTGATAAATTTTGACCGACGCACAATGGACCAGAATATAAAATAATGGGACAAAAATAGAAAAACAAAAATATTTAGATAAATGATTATTTAATGTTATTAGTTAGATAAGATATCGGTTCATAAATAGATCGATACAATTTTGTTTAAAATAGCACAATACCGAGTTTATTTTATATGAATGTCACATAAAGTCGTCAGATGAGTAAAAACCATTATACAATATTACGTTTAAAAAAAATTTTTTTTTTTTTTCGAAGTAATAATTATTATCATGAATTCTTCTGCGCGATTTCCGTTTGAAGGGTATAACTGTCGAAGATTATATACCCTTATAATTGTTATTGTCGTGATAAAATAAAAACTCATATTTTCTTACGTACCTATACATAAATTATTAATTTTAAATATATTTTATCATATTATATAGAACTATTTATTATTATTGGGAGAAAATGATTCAAAACCGTAGAAGTTGGAGGGCACTAACGGTGGTAGCTAAAGCTCTTACAGAATTATGAACCCGTATAATTATGATATATTTTAATGATTACTGTGTGAAAGCTTTGAACATCATTATAATGATTCAACAAGTAAGTCATTGCCAAAAAAAAAAAAATCATAGCCAACGGGGTTTACTCCTACTGCAATAACGCTGCGACCTGACTGTTTTTACCCGGAGCCCACTTCGACCTTTGGAGACGTTAAAATCATTTAGCCAGTTAGAATAATATAGTAAAAATATTATTATTATTTTTTTTTTTAACATTTAAAATCTTAAAAAAGTAACGCAGTATGAAATTTCACTACATCGATACGAAAAAATGAGCTAAAAACAACGTTCAAAACGTTTTAAAGTAAAAACAGCCCAGGTGTTCAATTTTAATGTACGAATTATGAAATTTATTTATCGAGGTCAAATTTTCTTTGTTTGTTTTTAACATAATATTAATAATGTTTGAGCTGTGCTTTAAAATAAAAACAATTAAATATTTATAATTTTGACCAATTTTTATGATGTTTAATGTCATTTGATTAAATGACGGTAGTGGGCAATCAGCAGTTTTAATTTACAACTCTGTCGTTTAATATTACGCATAATATATACCTACCTACTTTATAAAATGTCTTATAACTTTAAATGCATAAATGTCAAATTTAACACCTAATTTATTTAGTAGAAAATATGTTTTAAGTTAAACTAGAGAAGTGAAGAGGTAGGCGGGGAAATAATTGTACACCCAACCGTTTATGATCCACTATATAACATCAGTTAATTTAAACTTTAAACGCTGTTCGTGCGTAACTTACAAGTTACTATAGTATTAATTAATCATTTACATGAAATTCATACAACATATTTTCAAATGTATTTTCTTCAATAAAATTGTAAAATAAAAATAACTGTAGTTTTTTATATATCCCCGTCTCTCCCCATCTAAAAAAATGTATATATAATACAGTATCTATCACATTATAAGAACTTAAAACTAACAAGGCGCCGGACATTATATTTGCACTACGAGTAGGCCACTGGTGTATGTAGGAAGTTGGTAATAGGTTACAAAAAAAAAAAAAAAAGATTTTAGGTGGATAACACGTTAAATTAGTCATCGTGAAAACCCTCAAAACTATGTAAGTGTAACTAACTCCAAAAAAGTATGAAATTTAAGTGAAACATTATATAAATTTAAATTTAAAAACCATTTTGGAGATATTGTTGAACTACCGTCCGTCAGTTGTTGTTATCAATTATTTATGTAAACTACGAGGAGTTTAAAAAACTGAACACTCGTGTGCAACAGAGCTCAGTTACTAAAATCGATTTTCTTTTCCCCGCGTATTTTACACTAGAAATATTAAATAACCAAATACTGCATTATACATTACTCGATCACCTTTCGACGACTACGAAACTCATCATCAACCGATAAAACGTGTCAATAATATTATATTACCAAATATAATTATCATCGAATTTTTCAAATATCTAAATTATATCCGAAAATCTTCCTCTTCCCTTCATTTGTCAGTACTATACAAAGGTGGCCAAAAGTCTCGCAACGCCTACCGTCTTGTATGGAACGCGCGTTACAGTGCAGTCGTAATAATAAACGTCGTTTCCGTTACGTCATATTGCAACTTTGATCTCGTTATCTTGTTTACGTATAACAAAAGCAAGGTTTATAAAAAAACAACATATTTAACATAAAACACAACAGTTTTATAAAAACTGTGTTGCAAATTTTTTGGGCGACCTTTGGCCACCTCTGTAGATAAGTGCACTCAAAATTGTATTCAAAATTGCTTACTGTGCTAATTCTTTAGGTAAATAAATAATTAATCATATTAATCTTGACTAAATAAATAAAATATTTGAGTTTTTTTTATATATATATATATTATACATACGTCGTATGCGAAATGGCAAGATTGTAAGATCATTAGTTACGATTCTGTATTATATAATATCTGGACAATAAACCATAAAATTTACTCAAAATCCTCGTCATTTGGAATAATAATAAAAGAATCATACTGTACATCGATATTGTGATTTCATTTTACTTCCATCTCTGTTGAGTGTCGATTATTTACCGAAGATGTATACCGCACATTTAGTCACTTAAAGTAATTATCAATTTCGTTTGTAATTATAAGAAAGTATTATACTTGTTTATTCGCACTGTAATCATATTGACAAAGTGTTTAAGTATTAAACTCAAGAAACATCAATAACATAATAACATTATTTTGTTTTTACTAAACAATACGATGATTAATAATAAAAAAAATTGTTTTTGTAGAGTACCTATTATTTAGATAATTATTTTTAAATTATTCCGTTTTATCATTATCTACTATTTAGATAATAATTATTTTTGAATTATTGTGATCTTTTTTACTATACAGATTTTAGGTACTCCTATAAAGTTAAAAAACCAAAAATATTGTAAAATTAAGTACTTTTGATACTATTGATTTGATTTGTAATATTAGTTTTGCAACTCAGTGGCATAATCATGGAGGGGGAGGGAGATCGGTCCTTTCTTTAGTACTTCTATAATTTTAAAATAAAAATTATTATTGTTTTGGTGAAAATTAAATTATTCCTTTTTTATCTTATTCACGACAATCTTAGATCATAATATATACAAGTTCAAATACAACAATTGTTAGAATCGATAAAATGGATTGCCAATGTTAGCATTTCATGTAAGTGCATTGTCATCGATCAAGAGGATGGTCTAAATTGATTAGCTTCAAAGACAAGGAGAGTAGACTTATTATTTTTTTTTTTTTTTTTTTTAGTTCCGGTCCTTAAGACCATCCTGAAAACGCTAAACTTTGCCACCTATCCCTGTCCTCCGCTACTTCTCTCAATTTGACACCAGGCTCTATATTTTCCACTTCTCTCTTCACACCATCTTCCCATCTTAGCTTAGGTCTTTCTAGTGGTCTTTTTCCATTAGGCTCTTCCTCGATCACCCATTTTACCAAAGTACCCTGTTTGCGCCAATCATGTCCTGCCCAACTTAGCTTCCACTTGGCGATCTCTCTAACTATATTCGGCCTCTGGAAAAGTCCTTGGAGTTCCACGTTATGAAGTTTTCTCCATTCATTCGTTTGCCTATCGTATATCGGGCCAAAACGAGAAAGTAAATGGCGTAATATCTGATATATGATTAATGGTTATTTCTATATAATTATCAAATATAAATGATAACGAAAATTGTGACGANCAAGACTTTTTCGAGTCCATAATATCCTCTATTCGCTAGTTGTATCCTTGTTGGCACCTCTGTCTTGATGTCGTTATCCTCCGTTATCATCGACCCTAGATACTTAAATTGAGACACTCTTTTGAACTTGAGTTCTTCAATTTTGATATATTGTTCCAGACCGCCATTTCTATTTCTTCGGCTAGCCAAAAGTATACTTATTATTACGATTTTTTAATAATAATAAAGTATAGTGTTATTTAATTAAACAAAAAAAAGTTCTGTACGTGCAGTATTCTTGCGACAAAATATTTCCTCCCTGAACTATAATTACTCCCCTATACTCCCTCGAATGAACCTTAAATAGGCCATTTTAATGATTGAATGTTAATTGTTTTCAACCGAAAATGAATAAAATGCACGTTCTCTTTGAAAATATAAGTTGAGGTCTTTCACGAGTAGTAATTGGGAAAATGTCAGAATACTATATAGGTAGCTGCACGATTGTATGCAGGGTTTCCGAATTCACCTACTCAGAACATTACTTTCCAAAAATACACAAATACCTGCACGCGTATCCGCGGATAATTACACGTGAGCAATTATGTGTATATAAGTGTTCTGATATACACACGGACTTTGTTTGAAGATTCTAAATGGGGAGCACTACAATTACTGTTATTACCTACCGATATACGATTGCTGCTGCAACGTACGCGTATAGAAAATATAATAGGCCCACGGAAACATTACAAAATTTACAACGCGACGGCTTGAACAGAACAAAACAAACAGCGATTCAATCGTTTTACCCGCTCGTCAAACCCTTCGAAACACGTGTAGGTACTCTTGTATAACAATAATATAAACGATATTATTATTTTATTGTGTTACGCACGGTAGTGTATTGTGTAATGTTTTAGAGAATCTCGACGGACGCAACGGAGGATACCCGATCACGATAACCCGACAATTCCGAGAATTATTGTTGTTATTTATACAATAATATATATGATATTTATACCTACCCATACTCCCTTTCCGGCTTCCGCGTTATTACAATAAATCTACCAGAACAATATCGTTATAATATAATGTAACTTCGCGCCGGTGAATTTACCGGTTTGATTCCACTTCTATGCAATGGTTGTGCGCATAACACGTCTAAACGAAATTACCGGGTACGGTGGTAACTTGTGATACGCATATTCAATGACCACCATCACTGGCAGTGATTTGATCACATATTATTATTATATACTTTACCTAGCACGAAAATCCGACAATACTACGATCACTACCATCCGAGTTTTCTTCCGGTAAAATATCAATATTTTCAATCGTTAAATACACGTGTGCAGTTAACAATAGAAATACGTAGTAATGCCATTAAACGCCTGTTACAGTTATTTAGCCATGGTATACAAAATATCACACTACGTGCGTGCTCCAGTGAATAAAATTTTTGATTTGTAATTTTAGACTCTGAGTGAAGATTGACTAATAGAGATCGACTTAACCATTTGTCAATTATTTCAATAGAAAATAACATCGCCAGAACTTTAAATTATGATGATATAGTAAACGATTTTGCTATGGAAAAATTTAGAAAGATTGGCATTTAAATAAATATGTTTTAATGATAAGTTATTTTAGTAGACATTAAGTACTATATTTAAACATTTTTTTTTTTTACTGAAGCATTAATAGTTATAGTAATATTTTTTCCTCGTTGAAATGTGTTTAGTAATTCTACATTAATTTAAAAATATATTACAATATACACAAACTAAACATATTATACTATAAAAAAGTAATGAATATTATGTATGAGTTAAATAAATATTGAAATTAGCGAATTTTATATTTTTCGTCTGATAAAGGGGCGCCAATTTTTATATTTTGCGCCGGGTTGAAAAAACGTTAGACTCGTCATTGGCCGTGAGCCTCGAATTGAATGGCCGCCGCGCAGTTTCGACCAAAATCATTAGCGTGATACGGCAATTGGGGAAATAATGTAATATAACATATGTCTATAACTAATACAAAAAAAAAATATTATTTTATTCGTGCAGCGAAAATTGTCTAAATAATAAAACGACACTACGTATTATTTTAGGTAGGTATATGACGCAGGCAAGAAATATTAATTAGATGCCTAATGTTAACGCGATTAATTGTGTTCCGTTTTCGTACTATTCGCAATCTAGATTTTCCTGTTATAAAAATATTATCTTGACGAAAACACAAAGAACTTATTAAAGCAAAACCGGTTTTGCACTTAACCACGGGTACCAATGTGTACCATAATAACATAATAATTATACTCCATAACATTATTACTACGTTTACCTTATGTCGTAAATGCCTTGAGAATGTCGGATGATCGGTCGGTTCAGTGCTAAATCGTGTTTATACGTTAAACGATGTGTCGACTGTCGGTCGCTGTATTCGGTAAGTTTTACGGAATAATTATTTTTTAACTTATTAATATGCATACTGCCGATAGATAATAATATTTTAAGACTCGACCGAAGTAATTTAATCGATAATTAATTTTTTTTTTCCAAATCTCTTTTGCTGCAACATCAATTTAGATAGGATTTATAATTTCCAACAGGAAATATATACTTATATTATTTTTTTCTTAAATTATTTTTACGTAAATGCCACTAATACTGAACGATTCACTAAATTTTAGATTCAGAGTGTAACGTAGTTTTCCTAAGATGTGTTTTTTTTCCCTCGGAAAACACTGGGTCGGTTAAAAAAAATGTACCGACTTATTCACGCTGTACCCCAATGATGCATGTTTTCCGATCGTTTTATTTTTCAAATATTTCTAACATTTTGTCAAATTAAAAGACCGGACAACAAATATAAGGTTTCTTTACTGTTAACTTCTGGGTTACCTCGGTTGCAATAAGGAAAACACTAATTCTATTAATATATTATAACCTTACCAGATTACTGATCGCCATTAAAGATCGTTTTTTAATTGCAATGATTTGTCACTTTCCAACTTCTCAACTACAACACAGTGCCCATTATGCGAAATATGCCCGGGTTTAATATTTTAATTTCTGTGTTTTATAACTATATGAACACAATTTTTTACTTTAAACTTTACTATTTCTTTTTTTTTTTTTGTAGTTTATGTTTGTGAAAAACATAAACCCGGATTTAACTTTAAAAAAAAACAAGGGAAATGTATTTTTACGCTTATTAAATTACCCGTCTACACAGTGAAATGTTGGCTAAATAATTAAACGAATATTTAATTATTATAATATATTATGTATCTGGTTCAGCAACATAAATTGATAAACAGATAACGATTGATTTTTTTTTTTAATCGATACATTTGTATAGACAGATACATAAAATTAACTACAGCAAGACGTGCAAAATAACATTGCAGTAAAAAATGTTTCTATGCATTTTCCGGAAGACCTATACTACTGTATGTGTTTTTTTTTTATTTAATACATTTATGTGAATATTTTAATATTATTTGATCCAATTAAAACAGTTTTAGTTGCATTAACTATGTTTGCCATTAATGAATAGTAATATTAGTTTTAATAAATACTCGTCATGACGTTTCCATAGAAATTGAATAGAACTAAACATAATATCGTGTCTTATAATAAAAATAATAATCTGCACGTCGGTAAACTGAATATAATAGTATACCATTTTACCAGAATAATTTCTTATGATATGGACGGGAAATAATATTTTCAAAAGAATATTCTTGATTCAGAAAAAAAAAATATTTATTTTTCTGAATGGTTTTTTCTGAGAAATTATATTCAAGTTTTGTATCTAAAACAATTCAATTGTTCAAAAAATATAAGAATAAATAAATTTATACTACTTACATTTATACGTTTGAAAACTGTTTCATGGCCTATTTATTATGTATTTTTCACACGACACACAATATGAAATTGGAATATTATATTTTATTTGTCCTACAATAGTGTGTCTCACAATATCACATAGGCACATTTTAGTTAAATACACATTTTATCGATATGTGTATTTGGTTGTAAAGAAAAGGGGGGGGGCAGATTTAGCAACATGAATAGGTCACTGTTGAAGGTGGAAAGTTAAGAATATAGGATACAGAGTAATTTAGTTTATACCCGGAAAGTAACGATAAATCATTATGATTGAAAAACCATTTTGAACGGTGATCGATAATCCGATAAGATGATATAGTATTATCAATCGTTTCCCCTTAAAATAACCCTGAAATCAACTGGAATGAAACTAATGTACCCATCATAATTTTTAGTCAGTGTTTAAATTTTTGAAAAAATTGTTAGAATTTAAAAAAATTGTTTTAGTACTGGGCAAAAAGTCTGCATCTGTTAAGGCATAGTGAGATAAAATCTGAGCATTTTAACTAATTGAAAAAGGGTTTTTTGAGAAGAATAAATAAAACAATTATTTTTATTAAAATTATAATAGCGAATAAGCTAAACGATTAGAACATAAAATAAAAATCCTACAAATACTTGATCCTACTTAATAAATAATAATATTATAAAATCATATACGGACAAATAAAATACAAGTCAACTCGATATTTTTAGTGACAACAAAATAAGGGAAAAACCACAAGAAAAAAAATTAATTTTTTTACAAGAGTTTATGATTGAAGGAATGCAATATTATGATAGCATAATATATATTAATAATTACTGTCACCTATTGTAAATTATAGTTTTTTTTTTTTTTGAAATTGACAAACACTACTGTAATAGGTATAGTTTTGTATTTTATAATTATTTTGTTTAAAATCTCATTGAGTTACATACAAGGTCATTATTATTATTTTTTTTTTTTTATAACAATTTAAATGAAAACAAAATTATTGTGAAATGGGTATCACCTATTTCACAATAAAAATAAAAAGAAGTTTTAAGATATTGAAGGTTAATAATTTATTTAATTCGTTTTTTTTCTTTTTACATATATATTTTCTTTTTAAGGTAAACATTTACTACCTTTTTGTAAATAATATAGTGCCGGGTTGAATAAAAACCGTTCTGTAAACTGTTTGTTTGACAATATTTATCTATAGATTCTGTAAAATTACAACTATTGAACAGATTGCTTAACATTATTAAGCTCTAGGGAATACAATATCACCATATATATAAATAGTATATACCTAAACTATATAATATATTTCCTTCTCACGTTTAATGTGTATGAATAGACATAAATAAGGATTAAACAAATTCTGAAAAACAGGTTTTTTTTTTTTTTCAAAAAAATTGTTCAAGGAAAATTTAAAAAAAATAAAATAAAATAAAAAGTGCTTGCAACGTGAACAAAATCACCTTCTAATATATCTAAAACTTTTTAATATTTTTGGAGATAATATTAAAAATCTATACGTATCACGTTCAAATTATAATTTTTAATTAAATATATATTTATAAAAGTGTTAAAAGTCTGAATTATAAATATTGGATGTGTACCATCTTCTTGATTATCGGTATTTCGACCCTGTCGGAAATTTAACCTTCTCTAGGGTTCTAACTATCGGGTTTTTGACCCGGACCCAACTATATTGACGTAGATATCAGCATTATACTTAACAATATTCATATATTCCGCACAAACGCATTGAGTTCTACCGAACAATTTCTTGGTGGCTTCAATAATAATTATAAAAACCTTCACAACACATTAGCTACTTAAATTATTATAATGTTAAACGTTTGTCTAAATATATATATATATATGCATACTATAATCCAGTGCGAAAATTTGTAATCATATTAAAAACAACAGTCGACAGCAATCAGCAATATTATTATTTTCATTATTTATCAACTAGAGCATCCAAACAAAATATATTTGCATTTTTAGTAATATACCTAGGGACTTAAAATCGTTTTGAGGTCATGACACTTATAACCAGTTTTTTACACTATTATAGTTGTACCGATGTATTATAATTATATCGTTAAACGTCATCATAAGTATTAAACATGCCTTGAGGCAGTGACGTATAAAAAATGTATACAACACGAAGATAAATATTTTTTGAAGACACTGGTGGCACAAAAAAAAAAAGAATAATTTGTTTACCATCAAAAATAACACGAATGTGAACAAACTTTTTGCGCTACATTTAAAAACTCACTCTTTCAGAATCCAGTGTTGAAAAAAGTTTTTCAACACTATGTGGTTTTCTTTTTCAATTTAAAAAAAAACTAAAAGTTAAATTTTACATCTAAAAACGTAAACAATTTTTCCCTAAGTACACGTAATTAAGTATTACGTACCAGTAATATAATTCGATTTTAATTCACCTAGTAAATATTTAACGGAAAAAAGTTTCATTTAAAAGGAACCGCGAAGTAATTTTATTTACATTCTATACATCTATATATAATATAATATCAAATAGACATGGACTTTTGATTTTCAAATAAACAAATCAGAATAAAATTAATATATTAATAAAAGATAAAATTTATCAAGTAAGTTGAATCGTATGTAGCAAAATATGTTGACCATTTACATCACCATTGATACGGTGTTTAACATTAATACCTACCTAATTATTACGTAACAAAATATTTTTCATGAAATATCGATATCAGCTTATACAATGACTAATTAATTATAATTTTTATTTTAAGTTAATCTCGGAGAAAATAAAATTTGAACAAAATAAATAAATATAAAATCTATACCAAAGTTCACTATACCCATTACTGTGGATGATGAATGTGACACTGTTTTAGGAAGGAAGTTGCAAGGGGAATATGTATAGAGTAGTTTAATATAAATATGCAACGATAATCTTTGCTCAAAATTATGAGCAGAGTAATATAAATCATATCCCCCCTCCCTAGTTGCCAAAATAACTCAAAAATCAACAAAAATTATACAAAAACTTACTAGCTTTTTAAAATTTATTAACAAAATTATAAAGCTGACACTCACAAACTGCCTACCTCGATGTATCAACTACATGTTAACCATTATACATTTTACAAGAAAATTCCCATACAAATTTTAAATGGAGCAAGATTTCTGATAGATAATTTTACAGACGAAAAATATACACGTACTTAATAAAACCAACGTAGTAAAACCAATAAATTATCCCAAACTTCGTTCAAAATATAAAATATAAGCGAACTAGAAATACACGTTCATAATTGTTTACAGCCACCCGTATAATATATATAATATAATTGATAGAGATTTATTTTTATTGGCCATTCAACTTAGTATTATATTATAATATTTTTTATCGGTGTACAATATATTATAAATACCGTATAATAGTTAATCAAATTATAATAGTATATTTCCTGATTCCTGTATTTACTTGAAAAATATTTGCATTTTACACGGGATCGTTTTGATTAATTTTTACATGATATTTTTAAATGCCTATATTATAGTGTGTTTCGGCCTAACGGATTTATCCGTTTACGGTCGAGTGCCGCTGAAGTCCAGTAACGTGATATTTCCTGACTCTGAGTACATTATTAATAATGGAAACAAAAATTTACCATCTGCAGCGGAAACCATCGAAACTATAGATTCCGATAACGGATTTTTTACCAATAATAATTCACCGTCGTCCGAAAGAACCACAAGACAAGTCAACCGCCGACCCATTCCACAACAATCTGGTAATACCCAAACGTTTTTGAATACTGGTAACCAGGGAGACGTGTTCCTGGGAATCGATCCAAATGATAACCAACCGCCGAATCAAAGTACAGCCTCGAACACCAGCGGATGTATGGACATCTGCAAAGCGAGGACCACCCAACAATACAATCCCGTGTGCGGAACCGACGCTCAAACTTATCAAAACAGACAAAATTTGGATTGTGTCATAAACTGCGGTATACGTAAGTATTCGTGTATCCTGTATGATGATAATATACAAATACATTTTCTTCTTTTTATCCATCGCCTATTCTCACATATATTTAAGGTTGGCCACCTTAATCCTAACTCTCCACTTGACTCGGTCATCACATTTATACAACTCAGCAGAGGGAGGCTGTGATTCCGGGTGTATCACTCTCAATCGTGTCGAAACATCTTCTTTTCGACCTTGCTCTTTCTCGAACTCCATCCACATTCATTCGTAAAACTACTCTTACAGCCTATTACTCTTACATCGTATAGACTATCGAAACAATGTCTACATAATATCTTTTAGTGAATGATCTAAAATGGGCCTTTATATAGTCATATTTTATTCTATCCTCTCTAGTGACTCCGCTGATCCGTTTAAACATTCTCGTCTCTACTAATAATAAATTATTAATTGCTAATTAAATTGAGTTACTTCAGTAATACAATTTTTCTACTACTATTATTTTATACAATTCATACCAACACTATTACAGGAAATTTAATCCATAGAATTTTTTAAAATACTATTTTTATAATTTTTATTAATATAACTGTTATTATTATTTGAAGATAACCAGCTTTACAAGTACAACGCAGAATTATATTTCCATTAAACTTTAAATGTTAAATATTCTTGAGTATAAATTAAAAATAAAGCCATAAAAAGTTTTTATTAAAAACGAATACTAAATGAAGTGATTATCCAAAAATGCATAATACATTATTGTGTTTCTAAATTGTATAAGCATTTGATTTTATATTATGAAATAAAGTCGTCCAGATACGCCACTGTGCATTAAGAGTATTGCGTTTTGATCCATTATAAGACAAATCGTTTTCGATTTCGATTCGACAATTCCTCAAATGGTGTTAATACATAATATACACGAATTTCTTACGATTTTGATTACGCCATATTATTACTATGATAGATTACAATATTATTTTTGACAGTGTTATAATAACGCCCATAACAATATCTCAAAATATTGTTTTTCATTGAAATATACGAAATGTTTTCTTTAAAAGGATATAAGTATTTATTGTATGTATATATATATATAGTATATACATATGTATATTTAACGGAAAAATAATAGCATTACATGACGTGTTATTGTAATTTTTTCAGTAATATATATTTTTTTTTTTTTTTTGTTACAGAAACTGAATTCAGTTACACCGGTCGTTGTTTAAAAGTAAAATCGGCTTGATGGAACCGGTCAACAATCACCGTTTCAAAACGCCACAATCATATATTTTATTTATATTTCAACGACACCTATATAGATATATATTATGTATTTTATTTTTTTTTATTGAATAAGTTTTAAAGTTTAATAAACCGAACGAGATTACAATTTTATATTGCGTACATCTTAACTTTTTATTATTGTACACACATATTGTATTGCATATTATTTTTAAAGGTGTCTGCGGTCAAACAAATATAATATAAGGTTTGTATCAATTAAACAGAGAATATAATATCAAATCAACTACGTGCGCTCGGATTATATTATTTCGTGCTGTGGAGATGCGTTTTGAAGAGAGTACCCTGCACCTAGTTTATAGAATCGTTACAATGTGAATTCAACAACAATGGCCGTGTGTAATAGGTTAAATTACACGTCCAATATATAGGGGTCTGCCAACAGCGACAACAATAACGCCAATATAATTCATTTAACGCGGTTTCCTCCGAGTTTAATAAAATATTGCGCCGCCGCCGTTGAAATCTTTGAACTTTGGTTTTTCAAGGTTTCGTTCCGCACTCTCTATACATTTAATATGCTATATTGTATTATACCTATACTATATTTCTCCAAGGCTAGAATCAGGACGCGCGGGCCCTCCTTTCCCTGCCTACCGTCTACACAGCATATCCAACAAAACATATCATAATAAGAAAATAAAACACATACAGAGCGATTTTTTGAACTCTGATACGAAAACACAATGTTGTTATAGTATTCTTAAAATTGTGGTAAAAGACAATACGAAATGTATTATCTAACCACTTTTATAGTGTTACGCGTTTAGAAAAAATATCCTTTTTTCCGATGCTTCCCAAACTTTTTTGACTCGCACATACTTTTTGAACTACTGCTTTCTCAGGATATTCTCATAAATCATTATAATCAGAAAACCAATCCTTAACGGAGTAATATTAGTAGTATTAATCATATTTTTTCCACTGTAAAGCCTAGGTACCCCAGAAATCAAAAAAACCGATGTATCCGACAATTATTATTGTCAGTTTTTCAAAATTTTAGAGAAAACTTTTGGTATCCAGGAATCTGTTTTAAATCTTAAGCACCAAAGGTTAAAAATCTTCATTATTTAAGATACATTGCGAATTATCAAGAGTATTTTTCCTAATTAAAAAGTATTTTCTGATAACAAAAAACCCCCAAAAAAGGACCAAGGCCTTAGGAATCGTTCAAACGTAATCATAATTATCCGCAATCATTTAAGTTTCAAGTTTATCTTAAAAACAGATAATATTTCGCATGGTGACGTGATGCGCAGTTTAGGAACCGCTGCTTTATTCGAATGTATGATTTTAAAAAGTTGTCCTAGGATAATGGAGACGGGTGCAGCCACTGTTGTAGGTGGAATGTGTGGAAAATAGGATATAGGCGGGAGTTTAATGTATATCTGTAAGTAACGATTAACCATTGCTAACGAAAAAATGATTCTGAGCGGAGTTTAGTTAATAGTGATGCATTATCAATAATATATATGTGATATTATGGTAAAACAATTAAATAAGCATTATATATTTTCTTTAATAATATTTGTTTAATATTATGACTATTTTCCTTTTCGCCCAGTTTTCTCATTTTTTTTTCCGGCTTTTCCCATTAATTAAGAAATCTCCCGGGAAAATCAAAAAATGGCCTCCATAAAGCCTAAAGTATCTCCCCAGTTTGATTACCTTTCAGAAAAAGTGCTGTCATTGTAAATTGGAACAAAATTGCTGGTAGAAAAGTTATCCACGGAAAAAAAACATCATTGTAAAACCAATAGATTCCTCGCTCCATTCAGAATCGAAAAAAGGGGTTTTGAATATCAACGGATAATATTATGAAAAATCGAACGTCAAATTTATACATACCATTCTTCGATACCTAATCCGGTTTTTCACGATGAATAAAGAATCACCGTGTACACGCTGTATGTATAGCATGCATACGGTAACAGAAAATTGTTTAAATAGGTACTTCTGATACCTGTAAAGAAATGTGTTTGAATTTGTTTAGTATGAGACGAAATTTCGAATACAAAGAAGGCTCCTGCAGGAAGTGTACACTTACATCTTAATAAACGAAACATTTTATTGGCGTAACCTTGCGACGGGTCAAATTAATTTTTGAACGAAGCGCTTTTTTTTACTGCACGACAAGCCGGCAACAACAATAGTATTATTCGTCGTAACGAACACAAATCGTTCCCTAAACATGTTTACCTACTAGACAGACGTTAAGATTAACAAAAAAAAAAAAAAAAACGCTTGTGTACATCAATTCGAACACTTGATAATAAAATAATAATTGCAGTTTTGTTACATAATTGATGGAGTGCTGCCGTCGCCGCAGCGTAGGGGAGACGACCAATTATAGCGCATCAAGTATACCTCGATTTGACCTTTCTCGCATCAGTCGGTCGATGGAAAAAAAAATACTACGTACCTTTGGGTAGGAGAACCGTCTATATAAGAACCGCCCTAGGTCGTCCGACGAACAAAACGCTAGCGTAAACCCAAGTGCATGTAAGAACGTCTAAACACACAAATAATCAAATCAGCATGAAATCATTAACATTAGTGCTGTTAGTCGGTAAGTCAATTTTTTTTATTTTTATTTTTAATGTACCTACGATATTTTTTCATTTTATACCTACCATCAACATAAAATGCTAAAAAATAAAAAACAAAATTGCCCACTTAAAAATACCGTCAAAAATTAAAAATATCTTATTTGAAAGTTTCAAAAATTAAAAAAATTAATTATTGTTTTTAGATTCTGAGTAAAACGAAGGGGCTACAATTTCATATAATTTTTCGAAATTTTCGATATTTTTTTAAAAATAAGCTTTGTTTTATTGTTTTTTTTTTGGATTATGCAAATACTCTGATTTTTTTACGCAGTAACTATCACATAATGTGCGAAATTACTGCTTAGTAATGCTTTATTTCTATCATGCATCACAAATTTCTATAAGTTTCGGTGAGTAAGTTGCTGAATATTTAATATTCAGTATTTTAGTATGTGAAATTTAATTTTGCTTTTCAAGTCAATTTGTTTTTCTTTTGCTCTTGTTTTACTTTTAAATTGATTTTTCGAAGATTTAATTACGAGCTCTGGCTATTAAATAACGAGACTACTTATGAAAAATAGTAGTCTCGTCATTTAACAACCAAACCTCGTATAATTATTATTAGCTATTTTTTTTAAAAAAAGTTTTTTGGTGCTTTTTTAATATTTTTACTGCTTTATTTTAAGTGCATTTATTTTTATGTTTTATTAAGCTTACGACATCGGGACACTAGTTATGTTTAAAGTTTACTACATCAGTGGCCGCGTTCAAAAAGTCACGACCGCGTGCGTTAGATTACATTGTTTCTACAACGACACGATATTCTATATATAATTGTGTTAATTAAATGAATTAAACAACGTTACGAGTTACCGACAAACGGGACAAACTATAATCGAGACCTCTAGATGTGAAAATGCGAAAATGCATTATATATTATATCATTCGATTCATTAAAGCGCCGTGTACACCGGGAAAATTTGACCCAACTATAGTATAATATTATACTTACGTACTTATTTTTCATCGATTTCTCGACTTTCCTACATCATCGAAATCGGTGTAATCATAATATTATTCTGAACGTGCCGAACGTTCCAAACAACTATAGGTACCTATAGACGTCATGTGATCGATAATAATAATATTATCATTATCTGCGAATAGGAAAAATCGTACCGATAAAACTAAACTGCGATATAGGTACACACACACAATTAATTACTTAATGATGCACACACCGCTGAGTTCACTGTGTCCGAACTTTTATAATCCATATGTATTCGGTAAAAAAAAAATCGATTCGAGGATGAGAATGAGTTGTTTAAACAACGGCATTCAGTATAGGTATTTAAGAATTGACTTTAGGTATATTAGAGTTCGGATGTTGTAAGCATTTTCTTTTTTTTTTCTATTCGTCCAATATTAGGCAACGTCAGCTCTAAATTTGTTTCATACTACCTAAGATTATAACCTAAGAAATAGTACACGAAAATTTATTTGGCTTTTTTGCTCTTTTACTTTAAAATTGCTTTTTCGGAATTTTAATTAGTAACAATTTATTAACTATTATTAATTTTTAAAAATTTTAACTGCCTTATTGCTTTGTTCCAAGTTTTTTTTTTCTGTTTTATTGAGCCACAGTATCAAAATTCTAATCATTATTATTATTTTTTTTTTTTAATAAAAAAACCGCGTTTCAAAAATAGGTGCACAACTATCACAAATATAAGTAAATGCAATCCGAATTGTCTTCAAAATCATTACAAACGAAGCGACCATGGCAATTAAGTTGTATAAGTAATAAAAGCCCGGTGAATTTTTTTTTTTATATTTTACTTTGTTTAATATACATTTTAAACCATGATAACGTAACATCGATTTTGTTTTTAAATTCGAAACGTCTGTTCGCATTTTTCGAATATATTATCGTTATATAGCTATCTACATAGTTATACGTCAACATTCAAATTAAATATTTGGTATATTAAGTTTTTTTTTTTACCATTGATGTTTCCGATCAAACAAATAAAATATAATACTATTTATTATACCTACTATATCGCATCATCAAACAGTCGAATTTCACTGTAATTCATGTTTGATATATATATATATATATATAAAAAAAAAAAAACGAATTATTATAAATGCATGCATTCCCGTTTAAAAGTAGTATATTAGGTACGATATGAAATTTGAAAAAAAGACAAGTACAAAAAAATAACTCTAAATGTTTAGATACCTCAGAATAATATATTATTCAAATAACCTATTATTATATTATATTATCTGATATGAACACGATACGGAACTATAAAATATTATAATGTACTCGCTACATAATCTTATAAATATTAACACTTTGGACGATGATAATGATATTAAAAATATGAATTTCACTGTCCACTGATATCCTACAATAGAATTGTATACATGTTCGCTATTTCTTTTTCTTCTCGTCCTCGCCTCTCCTCCCCTCTATTTGTGTTCGGTCGCCTCGGTGTTCTGAATCTCACTTAATTCGATCTCAACTCCCTACACACACGCCTTCAGCAGCCGTCATAACAAATATTGCACACACTTTTAAATCGCAATAGTAATATTAATAAACTTCGATATAATAGGCCTCGCTGTGGTAATAGTATCAGTCAACGGTGCTCCGGCCAATGATAAAAAGATAGGTACCAGCCACAAGCTGAAGGCCACCAGCACAACGACAACCATTTCGCCATCCCGCAAATGCAAGTCCGACTGCCCGACCGAATTCAAACCGATTTGCGGAACGGACGGTGCTAAAGTGAACTTGAGCTTTGGCAACCGGTGCGTAATGGAAAAATACAACTGCGAACACAATTCGAGTAAGTAAAAATAAATATCAGACCAATTAGTGCTAATACGTAAAATTGAAATGTGCAAGAATCGTAAATATTGAATTAATAATTACTATAGGGCTTGGGACTTATTGCATTTAAAATTCACATAAAAGCACTCCAAGCAAATATTATAAGAGAAAATAGTAGAAAGGTTTAAAGTTCCCCTGTTCAACGACTATAAACTATTAAATATATTTTTTAACACAATACAAATGATTAATAAAAAGTTATTTCGTTAAAATAAAATTGTACGTATTATAAAAAAAAATAACTTTGGGTGAACAACTCGTGTAGCGTTACAAAATTGTATTTAATAAGTTAAATCCGTTAGAGGGGGAACATTTAAACTCTTGTATCATTTTTGCTTTTTCAAATATTTTTCAAGTGCTTTTTTCAGAGTTTTTTAAGTGGATTTTTATGGATTTTAAGTGCAATAAGTTCAGAGTCCAAATAATTACTATACCTATACTTGTGACTGGGCTTAAAATAATAATTAATTTATGACATTTTTTTTAAGGAGTACGTAGGTTTCTATCAACAGCTGTTATTTTGTTAAATATTTGTCAGTTTGGTAAAATAAAAACCTAATTTATTTAAAAATTTGACACTATCCGGAAAATTTTAAGGTAGTTAAAGATTTTAGAAAAGAAAGCTCATAATAAATGTACCAGAGATTATGATGAACGTTTTTCCGGACCCCAGTGTCAAATAGGTTAACGGTTTTGGTTAGTTAAATAATCCATTTTAAATTCTGAGATTACCGAAAAATGTATTGGTTTTATAATGATGTTTATTTTTTTTTCTATGAACAACTTTTCTACCAGCATTTTTGTCCCGATTTACTATGATAGCACTTTTTATGAAAGTAAACTGAGAAAGTACATTAAGAAGGTAATTTTTTTTATTTTCCTGGGAGTTTTCCTAATAAATGGAAAAAACCGGGAAAACATGGGAAAACCGAGAGAATATATATATATTGTTGATAAAGCAACACTATCAACAGAACTCCGCTCAGAATTTTTTTTTGTTAGCAATGGTTTATCGCTGTTTACATTAAACATTAAATTACATTATACATTAAATTTCCCCTCTACTAGCTTCCCAACTTCTCACCTATAACAATGACTGCTCCCGTTCCCATTATTATAAGACAGCTTCTTTTATTTTCTTCCTTAAACCAAACCACACACAGAAGTTTTGCCTCAGATTAATGCATCGTACCACAGCATAATATATTGTTTTTTGAAATAAATGTAAAGGCATTGGTTTTAATTTTATCGAGTTTTTTAATCACCATTTACGAAACTGAACACACCTTGTCACATCCGTGTTTGTATACGAGTATTATAAATTATAATACGGTCCTAAGTAAAGTCGCCAGCGTAGGTACTATGGGTACCCGTCACACATGTGTGTTTAATATAGAAAACCAAATTACACTTCTGCCTTCACGTCTACAATACTACGCTTACAGAACATTTAAATTTATGTAGTTTATATAATTTATATTACCAAGACGTAATATAAATATATGGGATAATATATGAAAAACATTTAAAAATTTTTCTATCCAGATCATTCATCGATCTATCCTTGATTTTATATTTCGTAAGATAATTCATGGCATATATATTTCATGGGTTAATCACAGTTTTCCATATATATATTTTTCAAGTATATGACTGCCAAACTTCAAAATTACCTCATTACTTATCATACAGTCTGCTACCTAGTTGTTTTATGTATCTGTGGGTAATTCATAAGCTATTATACTTGAAAAATGTAAAACGAATATTTTTCCCGTCCACTGACCACAAGGTAGGTAGCTAAGTATATAAAATTCGTCACATATCGATAAAAAATGTTTTGAAATCCATTAAACGTAAAATAGCATGTAAAATATATTATAGTTCTTATAAATACCGGAGAAAATATCATAATATATTAATATAAGACTATAATTTTCAAAAGCCGCACGCACATAGTAATTGCACCGATTAGTTAGTGTTTCGCGATTGTTTAATACAATATTTTGTATAATGAAACTAATTAAAACGAACACCTGGAGAGGAAATAAATTAGGTACCTATCTCGGTTAATCCGCAGATCCGGATACTGCTTGAGCGAGCAACCCCGACGGGAACGATGGGAACCTACGTTTTTTTTACAGAATTTTGAAATACCTCTAGAAAGGAAAAAACACCGATTATACAATTATGTAAATATTTTTATATAATTTAATATTTACCTACATAGGTTTACCACATTATAATCGAAATGCAAAAACAAAACATCTATGAAGATCTCTGAAACAATAAATGATAATATGAGGTGGATAGAAGATGTAGTCAAAATGGACGTGAAAGCTTTAAATGGACAAAATTTGGACCAGATTTCGATGGTGGAAGACACCTGAACTGCTGGAGGATCATTTGTGAGACAGTGAATGATTCTAGAGATGAAAATGAAAAATGCATGGAGTTTTACCTAAATAAACTTTATTTGTTCATTTATTCCGCAATTTCAAACGATGTTCATATTTTGGCTAGATATTATTTTTCCCCATACTCGGATTCTATACTTATGTTTAAAGCACTTATACAATTAGTACACGTATAATTTATTATATACACGTGTACATATACAAAGCGATACGACGAGACTCGTCGAGATTGTCGATTTCGCGTTTCCGGTCAAGTGCTCGGTCAGCCCCTGTAGACTCATTTCGGCACACTTCAATATAATAACTACAATCATATATGCCAATATAATAATGTACCCCAGACACGTTTTTTGGGGAGGGGCTTTCTACCAAAACATATATGGGTTAAGAATAAATTTACTTTTAATATGTTTTTTTACTTTAGATAGGCACGTGTAGAAAATAATAATAATTCGACCATACAAAAAAAGCGAAAATAAAGGTATCTAAAAAAACTTTGTGGTGTGTACTTTAAAAAAGAAAATTCTACTTTTATTATAATTTCGGTTATGTATCTAAGGTGCCATCGAACACAGAATACCTCAAAAATATAATATTTTCATTAATATTATACAGTAGGTACAAAACATTATATTATAATATTATGTGCATGTTGTTCAATTCGAATAGTAAACTATACGATATATGGTTTAAACAAATTTCCGCCATCGTATTCATTGTGTTAGATGTGTAAATGTTTAAAGTTTTCGCCGTCCTCTCGTATACTGTATACGACTCTTTGGGGACACCGTACCACTGCACCGGATTGAAACTTGTGTCTACCAATGCTGTTGATTTACTAAACGTTTAGGCCTACTACGCGGTATTTATACAGTGAGCACGATAATGTATAAAGGTACACTATAAAATATAAATAACATGTCTTATAAGACATGTTATTTAGTTAAAGAGATATTTGAATTGTCTAAATGAAGATAAAAGATAAATACAAATTAAACTGTTTCGGTAAATATTAAAATCAGCAATGTGTTATCTAGATAAAAAAAAGATAATTTTGTTCATATCCTATCATAAAACTCAGTACTACAACTAGTAAATTCGTAACAGATTGAGTACATATCCAGATATCAAAAAGATTATGTGGTTGATGCAACTTAATAATTAATTAATTTTACTATATATTAATATAAATTTAATATTTTACTTATTATTTCTAATTAACAGTATGATGTGGTATATAAAACACAAAGAGAAAGAAACAGGAATTGATATAAAACTTAAAAAAATAGAATCTACAGGCCAATATTTTGGAATATTTTCAAACGAAAAATTATAATTATTATAACCAGCGTTATTGCAGGTGATAAAAATAATATGATTTTTTTTTTAAGGATTAAGAAACACGAAAACCGTTTTTAAATTGAATTTGTGGATAGAATAGGACGTAAAAATATTATAATTGAAAGAAACAATATTCCGAACCCATTAGATAATATTTTATTTCGTATAATAATAACGCGGTCAAAAATATTTTTATAATATAAAAAATAAGTTTAAAAAAAAAAAATAACTTTGAACCCATCATATAAAAACTGGAGATTTAAAACTATATATAATGACAAGGTATATACAAGATTTAGTATTCGGGGAGAAAAAAACTTTAATGATTAAACTTCTTGGTTCATCAGAACTTTTGATGAGTTGTATTCATTTTTTATTATTATTATGAAAATTGCTGTATTATTTTAATAGAAAAGGCTACGGAAATATAAAAGTTATTTTATATATTTTTGAAAGTCCAATGAAATATTTGTATCAATATATTATTAAATATAATACAAAATTTAAAATGTATACGATTTAATAAGCTCGGATATAGACTTTAATAATAATATGTTTTATAATAATATATTTATGAACAAATTACATATAAGATATATAAAAAAGTATAATTATACAAAAAAAAAAATAATTTTCTTTACATTTTTAATCATCATAAAAGCCGTATTATAAACGTATTTAGATAACATAATGTTTGGTAAATTTAATGCGTTTTATTTTCATCTGACGCCCGTCAATTATTAAGTTAAAATATAATCGCTGATAGAATACGCGGAGTAAATAAAATTTCCTTAGACTAGTAAGAAAAAAAAAATCAATACATTTCTCCTCGCATTTCTCGCTCCACTCAGAATTTTTAAAAACCATAATATTATGTGTTCCAACAATCGCAATAAGAATTGAATTCGTACAGTAAAACGTAATAGCTGTATAATGAATTCTAATATTGAACCGTAGGATTTTTTTTTTTAATAAATTATTTCGATTTGTCGTAATATATTGTTCTAGAGACAAAAATACGAACTCACTTCAAACGATTTCGGAACGCGCTTCACTCGCGTTGTAATTTAAAATTGAAATTGTACGACGTTTAAAGTATACAACTTTATAGTAATTAGGTGCCAGACTATAAATATTTGTAATACAAATTTAGTCTACAAACAATACTAGTATACTAGTATAATATATATGATTCAGATTTTAATATTATTTACCAATTTATTGGCGGGTCAAAGGAATATAATTAAATTAAATTTACATCAAAGGCGACGTTGCGTCCGACTGACTCGAAATTATATATGTTCGAAAAATATAGTATTTCAATATTATTTTTTATTATATTTTCCACAGATCATGTGTATAAAAAATATGTAACAAGAAATTTGTTTTTTTTTTAAATTCTATACTTTTAAAACTATTGTTTCTTCTATCCGTTAAACATAGCTTTCAGATTAAAGATCGTAGACATTTTGAAAAGTAAACAAACCTCATATTACACTGATTGATCAATCTTCTTTTGGACTATTTATAAAACAAGTAACTGTACAAAATTGCATTACCAATATGTTATTTTTGTCACCCTTAATTTTAGAGGTTAAACCACTTCCCACTTTTGATTTTCAAACAACAATCTTTACTAAAAATTTCATAAATAGATGAACCTATGTACTTTTTATGGAAAATATCGTCTAATCACACCGCATAAAAATCACGTGACATAATATAACGTTATTTGTTCATACAAGAAATGTTTAATTAAAATAACATAGCAGAGACAATCAAGAAAAAAAGGTTGCGATGGACAGGACATGCGATGCGGAGACAGAACTCTCTATTAAGAATGGTGCTAGAACAGAATCCGGTAGGAAAAAGGCCCTTAGGAAGACCAAAATTGAGATGGGTAGATATAGTTCAGAGAGTTGTATTAGACTTAGGAGGCGGAGCAAACTGAAAGGATTTGATGATGAATAGAGATGGCTGGAAAATAGGATGGTCCTAGCGGCCAAATTAACCCAAAAGAAAGAAGAAAGAAAAAAAGATTTGTTCATACTATAACCTGCACTTGCGCTGACTTTTTTATTTTAAATATTCTCTGGTCGAAAAATTGACATTTAATGAAAAGTAATCCTCATTGCAGCCCTTTAAGAAGCTGTATAATTATATTTGTATACTTAATGAACTACGTACGATCGTATTCGAAACAATACTTATCACTAGAAAATACAAAATCCACGTTACAATACCATAATTTATTCTACACATTAAGGTGCCAATGTCGTTTTGCCCATAAAAATACACTCTATGGAAATAGTGATTCTGTTCAGTAGAATCAACCAAATTAATTTTTTTTTTTTTTTTAAATTAATAGAGGGAAATATTCTACAGATCATATTGAACTCCGTTTTTCAATATTATTCTATTTTCAACATTTATAAAGTTTTAAAAAAATCTAAATTTTAAGCTTTTTATCACCATTTTTCCCCCTATTATTTGAAATCGGAGTTCAATACAGCCTATAGAGTGTTGTAGTTTATCAATAAAAAAAATTTTTATGAAAATATTGAATTAACAATGAGTTACCACTATTTTCGTGAAGCAATTTTCGCCAGTAAAAACGACCACACCATTTCCCCCTAAATGGGTATCGAGTAGTAGATCGGATGGAAATCCCATCTTTAAGATGGTAATTTAAATGTTAAAAATTATTGTTCAATTTTTCAAAATCGGAGAAAATTTAAAAAACTGACAACGGGCCTCTTAAAGAAGTGAAAATGATTGAATTTTTTAAATATAAATAATTACCTGTACAATATTATTGACTGTAAACGTTTATTATATTGTGTTGCAGAACTCACACAGAAAGCAGAAGGTGAGTGCCCAAACAGCAAAGGTATCCGTCTAGCTTAAATGCGCTTTTTAATCAACAACAGCAACCACCAACGACATCACCGCATTATATTATAATGTTATAATATTATGTATAATATTGTAATTATTATTATCATTATTATCATCAAAGTAGCACACCATGATAACGAGAAAAATATCGTTTGAAAGAGTATCCCGTTATTTTTATATTTTTGTATCTTTTTACACCAATATATCCACACACACATACCTATACATATGTACACCTACATACATACGACACAAAAATGGCATATACATCGCATACATGCATACACATACACTGCAAACACACTTTATACCAGTATAACATAATGTTGTATCATTTATAAATATCTGCATAAATAAAAAAATTGTATTATCATAATCCTTTTCCTTTTTATTTATTAATATTATTCTTATTCTTATTCTTATTCTTATTATTATTATTACTATTATTAATTTTATTTTTTGAAATGTTTGTTAAACTTTAATAACGTCTACGAATATTATTCGTAACGCGTTATAATACGTATTAATTTATGATATGATGTATACAGGATGATCTTTTATCGAGATACATTAAAATTATTAATATGATCAATTTATTACCCTCCCTTACTCCTCAGGTTTTATGAATTCTAAACTCATAATAAAAACGTGGTTATAACGTGGTAGAATGAATATGCATATAAAAACCGTAGAATATATTATATAATAAATTATTATATTATTTTTTTCTAATCTGTGATGAAAAAGGGGGATGCTATTTTAAAATTAAAAGTATACTAATTTAAAGTATAAGGGCTAACCCAATTTAAAAGTAAAACAATTTAAACTAACATTCAAATAGAACTTAAATAATTCTATAATGGTTGAAAAAAAAACAGAAATCGAATTTACCTAATAAAATTCTCCGTGAAAATCGTTGGATCGTGACAAAAGAATCACCCTGTGAAACGAAAATCCGACCTTACGAATTACAAACTGACTATTATTTGTGATTATTCATCATTATAGTTATTTTGAACACGAAACGAATCAAAGACGCAAATGCAAATATAATGCACACCTACCTATAAAATAACTACATATTTTTCCCATGTTAACTCATTACATACGACGACGTCGCATTCGACTTTTATATTGCTATTGTACCATGAAACGACCGCATGATTACAATGCAATTTTTCGTATTTTTCATTTTGAGGTCATCAAATAGTAAATAAGTACTCACCTTATGGTAAGTAATGTCAAGTCATGGCGCTTCTATAATATGCTATACCAACCTATAGAATAAAAACGAACTGCACAATATTATAATGTGAAATATTATGCCCAATCACTCAATTCGTTCCATATCACGAACCGGAGTTAATTTACGAAGATCCTGAAGGTAGGTTGCTAGATTTGTTTTTAGATTATTTTTTTTCAAATATAATAGGTATCGTTTAAAGATCTTAGTATTTACGATATTTTGAGAACTTTTATCCTTATTCATAACGTACCATAAATATAAAATAATACATACAATTTTTATTTTCAAACTGTATATTTTTAAACTCAGAATCGAAAAAAAACCATTGTTTCTGAAAAAAAAGTTGATTTACAAAGCACTAGTACATATTGTTTATAATTTACACTCTAGGAATGTATGGAAAGGTAAGATATTTCGTTTCCGTGTTTAAAGATAATCCTTTTATACTCCTTTGGCCGATAATTTAGTCTTCTAGATTCTGAGCGGAGCAAGGAATGTATTGGTTTTACAGTGATGTTTATTTTTTTTTTTTAATGTGAACACTTTTTCTACCAGAAAGCTTAATTCAATTATCAAGTATAACACCTTTTTTTAATTTTCTCTGAGTGGTAATTTAAAGAGGTCATTAATTGAAATTCTCATTAATATTCAAGATAAAGTGGAAAATCTGGTTCTTTAGGTAAAAAATGATTGAACGATTGAAAATAAGGTTTTAAGGTTTTTATTTATTTTTTGTTATTATTAAGTTTTTATTTTTTTAATATTTTTTAAACAATCATTGTTTTCGTGGAAACGTACATTATTGAAAAAGTATTTCCATTTCAATACATTCTTCCAATTATTAATCTTTAAATTATATTTCTTTATTCTATACTTAAGCATCACTATCAAATAAATTCCGCTCAGAATCGTTTTTTTTTTGTTAGCAATAGCTTATTGTTACTTACGAATATATAACATAAAATTTCTTTCAGTATCCTACCTTCCCAACTTCTCACTTACAACAATGGCTGCACCCACGTAAGAAATATATCCGTCTTTTATGCTAAAATTACCAACATTTACTCTAAAAAAAAAACAATTCTAAATTCTAAAGTTTTATTTTGGAAATTTTTATAATATATATTTTTTTGTGTCTATAATTCCATCAATATATTGCTGACTGTCGATAATAATTTTGAAAATAAATTACTACCCATTTGGGTGAAACAGATGGCGATTGTCTGAGATAATATTTTATCAGTCACACTAATATTCATATATTATTCATGAATCTAAAACAATTATTTTGCATTATTTTTGCTGAAAACTATTAATTTGATACCAACTATCGTTCCTGAAAACATGATTACAACAATGTGTGTTTCCATGACAACAATGATTATTTAAAAAAGATTGAAATAATAAAAATGTAATCATTAATAATAACAATAAATAAATAAAAACGGTTACCAATGACAATCATATTTTTAATCTTTCAATATTTTTTAACTTAAAGAACCATGTTTTTAAACCTGAAATGAGAATTTCAAAAATGATCTCTTTAAAGGATCACCCAGAGAACATTTCCTTTCAGAAAAGGTGCTTACTTGATAATCGGATTAAGCCTTCTGCTAGAAAGTGTTCAGGTAAAAAAAAATTTTAAAACTAAACATCTTTGTAAAACCAATACTTTCGTCGCTAAACTGTGAATCTAAAATGTACTCTAAACTTCGAACATATAAGTAACCACTGGTTCACAGTAAAATAATCCCCCAACAAATAATAATATTATGATGGGATGTACGAAGAAAATAACAGCTAGATATTATACACTGTCAGCCGCTGACGAATAGTAGAGATTTTTTTTTTAACATTATAATATTTCACACTGCTCTAACAAGACGTGGGGCACGACACCTGCTGCAGACTACGGCAAAAAGTCTAATATTCGCACTCTGACCGACGGAATGGTTAACGAATTATTCACCAGGTTGCTTACATCGAATTTCGGTATTACATGACGGCACTTAAAGGTTTAAAAAGTAATACTAATATCACTATAATTTGTCACAATAATTATCCCCGGTAGCCGTAAAGAAATTCTAAGAGTTAATTTTAAAAGTAGGTATTAATCATCAGCTGTTTAATCTTGCAATTTAAAATCGGTAAATGAGTTCGATAGAAAATAATTTTTCTAAAACTCAAAAGCATATCATCTGATTGCAACCGCACAAAAATCAAGTGACATAATGTGACAGTATTTTTTCACATTATAACACGTAGTTACACTCACTTTTAGATTCTTAGCAGAACGAGGAATATATTGATTTAACAATGATGTTTATTTATTTTTATTTTTTTATCTATGAACAACAAAATAGTTTTTACAAAATAAATTTAAAATTATATCAAAATAAAACTTAAAAAATTCCATAAGGCACATACTAGTCGCCTCCTGAGGTCAAAAAGGTCAATAATTTTAATACGAATTGCCTCCCGGGTATATACCTTTTTATTTACAATAAGGATAAGAGGCAATTCGTATATTTTGGGAGGCGACGAGTATGCACCGATTCCATAATGGTTGGAAAGAAAACATAAATCTAATTTATTTAATATATCTGTGAAAATCACTGGATCATGACAAATGAATCACCCTGTGAAAAAAACCCACACTTCAAGAATAACAAACTGACAATTATTTCTATTTAATCGTCGTTATAGTTATTTCGAACATGAGACGAACTAAAGATGCGAATACAAATATAAATTAAATTATTCGTGCGATCACGTTTCTATAAATAATTAGATATGATATTTGTATGCCATTTAAGTCAAATTATTACAGACAAATTATCTCAAATCAAAATATCCTCGGAAAAATATACTATGATAAAATATAATTACAGCAACAAGATAATTATTAGGTATACCATTATTATACATTATAGCAGATATTCCAAAAACTTGTTTGAACTAAATCCAGCCACAGTATCCTATAATGAATACCACGAGAAATATACATACAAAATCAACACTAATTCTCAATAATAATAATCAGTTTTTACAATTTTACTGGATACAATACAATATAAACATTCTAAGCATATAGCCGAATTAAAACATTTTTTTATAAAATTCACTTTGCAATTAACAAACATTCAAAAAAATTGGAAAGTGCTCTCGGTGTCTTAAGGAAACCGCTGCATTATAATATTTTACACATATTATATGTTATTAAAAATCACAAACTAAGGTTAAGCAAAGAGAAAAAGCTGGGAAAATAAAAACGAAATCAAACGAAAAGATTAATAATATATTGAGAAAAAACCAAACAAATAACAGATAAGAAATATGTTGATATAATAAATATATACATATATCTCAAGAAAGCAGATTTTTCTCGCATATCCCTTATTCATATTGCATAAATATTGTATGTAAACCAGAATTTTCTTTTTAATTTTTTTTTTTTTTTACTCCTCTTATGATTTTATGTTCAGCTGTGTAAAAAAAAAAAGGTTTCCAAGAATCAAACTTGTTAAAAATAGCTGTTTTATTGTTCTGTAGAAATTAGAAAGTAGAAGAAAAAATTATATTTTTAAAGAGAGCCAGATAGCATATTATTCATTGTATTTCTGCAAATTTTTGTAGTCACATTTTAATTTCACGCACAACTACCATTATGCTGTAATTTAAATCACTTTGATACATTTCAATTAGGTACTTAATTTTTTCTTCGTGAATCATAATGGATGATGGTATTTTACAATAAATTTAACATTTTTAATTATTGATCTGTGAGATAAAAATCGCACATTTAATTGTTTTAAAAATGACCTACAAATGGAATGAATAAAGATGAAGATATTCTGTGATTATCATCAGGTAAATTAACCTGTATATTTCATCAGTTTTTTACTAGTAAGCTATACAAGAAAAAGATGTTTTAATTTTTAAGACATTTAGATTTTAAATTATCAAACACAATTTTAAATTCACTTTTCAATAGCTTAACCATATATATATATATTATATTCTATTTCTGTGTCTGAAAAACTTATTTAATGGTAAACTCATACGCAACACGTTTTATACGCTGCTACTATAAATTCTGGTTTTTTTATAACAGCAATTGATATACATCTGATGAATTATCCTT